CAACTTACGACCTACACGTCGACAAAATCAACACCCTGATGCGAGGAATCGACTTCTGTCACGGAGATTTCTGAAGAGTGGGATATCAGCTGGATCTTGCCACGGGGTTTGGACTGAGAATTGAAGATGCAGCGCGTTGCTGTGAAATTTGCGCCATGCCTGATGACGGAGGAACAAAAATCCCATCATGTCCAGCTTTGTCAAAAACTGCTTGATCGTTTAAAGATAAAAACTTGTCAAATATCATAACAGTGATAAATCATGGGTTTATGGTTAGGACATTGAAACGAAGAACCAATCGTCCCAGTGGCCGAGTGAAACGTCCATCAGACCCAAATAAGCTCGCCATGTTCACTCCAAGCTAAAGGTGAAACTGACAGTTGTTTTGTTTATTCTAAGGGTGTTGTTCACCACGAATATCTCCCAGAAGGCTCCACACTGAATCAAAGTTACTATATTGAAGTTCTGAAACATCTGGGAGACGCCATCCATCGGAGAAGGCCAGAAATGTGGAGGAGTGGCGACTATGTTTTCCATCATGGCAACGCTCCAAACTATTCAGCCCTCAGAACTCGTGAGTTTTGGGCTAAACACACCCTTGAAAGGAAGATTTGAGACGATTCCCGAGATTATGACAAATGCGACGAAGGAGCTGAGGGACATTACAAAAGAAGCGTACCACGACTGTATCAACAAGTGTAAACACCGTTGGAATAAGTGCGTGCGTCGGGGAGAGCACTTTGAAGGGGATTCGAACTTGTAAGTAAAGTAGATACCCTGAGCCACCTAACCCGTTAAACCTAAGATCTAAGACATTCTTACAAAACCATCTCAAGCTTGACTTGTCCTCGACCATAACAACCTCAAGATACAACAAATTTGAGGAAGTTTAATTTAAACTTAGACTAAACCAATGCCTGGTTTTCCCACCTACATAACAATCTAAAGCAACTCCAGAGCCTGGCCAGGCTCCATGTTACCACCCTATGCTCTCACTGGGCCTTACCTACGTAACTACTTCAACCTACAAAAAAAAGTTCAGAAAGGCGCACGTGCATAACCACATCACACCATGCCAAGCCAGGCACTTCCTACATAAATATCTCAGCCAAATTGAAGTCTAGCCACATTCTTTCTTTTTGAATTGGATTTTCAAGGCTCCCAAGCTGCAATCCTCTGCGCCCTCGGTAAACTTCACAATGAGACATTACTGGACATTCTATTACGATTTTGGGAACTCCACTCCAAGGCCAAGTATTACCTGAAGTATGACTCGCGCAACTTTTCTTGAACAATGGATTGAAGAAATGCGGGTAGAGTGGGGGGAATGAGTTACGAAACTGGCACTAGATTTTATGAAGCAATGCCTTTGTCTGGAGAATCAGTCATGTCCTCGCAAATTTCTCAGAAATTTGAGGGATCTCCTGTGATGGATCTTCACCTGCTTCGGTCATTTCTTTAGATTTTTTGGAGAAAATCACGGACAGAAGCTCCATCTTCAACAGAAAATAGTTTATATTTCGTGCCAGTGACGATGTGTTTGGAATGCTGTCATCAGTGCTCATTGGGAGCTTTTGCATTGAACTGTTTATTGTACTTGAGAAGGGGAAGAAGGTTATCGTTCAAAAAAGTTGCGCGATTGCTACCCAGATGAGTTTGGCATCATTTTAAATTCTCAGAAGAGTTACATCTTTTTTTTATATTCTTAGCGATTTACAGTTCTAATTATTTGTATGTGTTAATAAAAGCTTTAAAAATATTGCCAACTACCAAATGTCAGTGTTAATTACGATTTAGCACACATTTCTGATTGTTTAAAATTGGTTCCACTATATAGTTATATCACTTTTGAACTTATGGAATCATTGATTTTTAAAATGCAGAATGTTCATTAACATTTATGGAATTAATTCATGAACAATGATGTGTAATATTCATTATTTGTATGTTCATGAAGAATAGAATAGCTCTGAAAAACTTGTAAGATAATTAACTACCAATAATGCATTATCTTTTGTAAAAATTTAATTTGTAAGAAACCTTAAGGATTCTACATTCTCAATCTGATAATACAAAATACATGGTACATCTAACATTTTAAAATGTGACATTTCAGACTGAAATTTAAAACTTTAATATCAACAATAATTCACAGAAAAACAAAGCAGAACATTATTTACAGTAAAATAGTCACAAATACATTATTCACTTGTATTTAGAGTATAACCATGTCTATTGCATGAAACAAACTCACTAAGCATCGGCATAGCTGGACATTTGAATTCTTAATCTCTTTCAATCATTCAACCAACTTGATCTCTAAAATTTAACACAATAGTTTTCTTGAAATGCAAATGACAAAATATGGCACAGAAACACAGTACAATTCCCAAAATAGGAGTTTCTTGAATTACTAAAAATATGAAGGGTTCGGGAGTCATACATTATAACCAACACAAAAATGTTTTTAAGGTGAACATTTTTGGTTTAAGGGGCAAGTTATATAAAAATGACAACAACCAGAGACAAAATATCAGCAATAAATTGAACAATATGTTGAACAACACACATGCGGCATGAGCTATAAACTTATGTTATCACTAAATACACAATTTTTAGGGTTATCTTTCATGCCTGAACCCTTCATACATTAAGCAATAATTAATTTAAAATAAACATGTCAGTTCACACAGATGCAAACAGCTTACAAATGGTTTGAAGATCCCACATTTCCTGCACATTTACTAGGGTCCCTCTCTTTAATACTAATAGTAACACTGAACTTTAATATTTTATACCTGAGAGTAAAAAATAACAGAGATCTGGAACAGGGACACACAACCTTAAATAAAATTCAGCAATATCTTGTATTTCTTTTCTAAATAGGATTTAAAATAATGATTTACAACATAATGTATTTACCCGAATATAAGACAAGTTTTATTTTCTAAATATCTCTGCAACAAAAAAAATTGCAGAGGAAATATATATCTCGTGTATTTATAATACCCTACAATTATTCTTGTGTTATTACCATGAACGTGTCAGACAATACACACCAATACTTTTGAATGGCCCATATTAAGAGAATCTCAAATTGTAATAGTGAAATGTAGAGTAGAAAGTTATCATGAGAAAGAATACAAATTGTTGCTGTGATTTTGTTACACAAAGCTGGAAGCTGTGTGCTAATTAATGAGGCTGCAACACCCAGTGGCTGCAAATGTGCATTTTGCAATAGATGGAAATGAAAATAATGACATTGACAGAAGTGCACATAGTAGATCAAAACAAATGTACACAATGGTAAAAATAATTTTTCAAAGCAAAACTTCCCAAACTTGGAAGCATCCTACTTTTACTTTATGTGTAAAACTGAGATGTTTACAATTCAGTCTCGTGAAAATTAAACAATGCAAATTTCAAGAATATTCTGTTAAAGAATGTGAAAATACTGCCAAAGTTTCAGAGCCAATGAAAAAGAGAAAGAGAGGAAGAAAATTTTGAGATTCAGAAAGGAATTTTCTTACAAGGAAATAGTTGAAAGACTAATACTAATTCAACAAGTTAAGAGGGAGATCCTAAAATATCAGATGATGCAGAATGGGAGGAGAACAAAAAAGAAAGAAACACTTGATAAATGTGAAGATGGTAATGGCAAAAAAACATGATTAAGGAACAAGAAAATTGTGACAACTCAAGCAATATGTTTTAACCTTCTCATTAGCAAGACAATTTTGTAGACAATTTACAATATTATTTTGACTTAATGTTAAAAGAATTAGTTAAAAATTTTAAACATCCTTAAGAAGCCTTTCCCTTATTAAGGTGTTGTCTTTCGTTCAGAGTTGACTTATAATCGGGTAAATATGGAAATTGAACAGAATACAAAAAAATAATTTTATTAGATATTGTAAGCTGACAACAAATACACAAAATAAAGCCCTACTATAGGAGTGCATCCACAATTTAATTTAAAAACATTTTTATTTCTCAGTTTATGAAAATCTTATTAAATTAATATAATGTAACAAATTTGAGCATTTTGATTGAAAATAAAGAGTTAAAGACATTTTTCCAGAAACAGGTATAAATTTTCTCTCACAAAAATTATTGCTCTGGAAATTCATAGAAAAAAAAGGGGCTGTACACACCTATAGCATGGATAACACCAAATAAAAACTCTTTTCCAGCTAGTTGCTCTTTCTTCTGCAAGTAACCATGAAAGGAGGTTAAATTTCTCTCAATGAACATGGGAGAGCTGCCAGATGCTTATGTTAGTTGAATCAATAAAAAACAAGTGTAAATAAAATTTAATTGTAGTAGAAATTAACAGTATTTTGTTAAGAAGTTTTTGTTTTAAAATGTTATCTTAAGAAGTAAATTTACTTCATAATGCAAATCTCCTCACATTTCCTTATGTTCTACTTCTAAATTCTTGGCAAGAGAGGAACAATAATTAAGGATTTGATGCTTAAGGGTAATTATCAGATTTGTCTCATAAACCGAGGAACTCATTGTACTTGCAATCTACTAACCTATTGTGATCAATAACTAATTTTTTATAAAAATGCATGGTGAAAAAAACACTTATACCGCTTTAAGAAACTATTTTGCAATGATAAAAATACTCTGTATTTAACAACTATAGTCTTTGTGTACTCCACATTAAAAGCATAACCTACTCTCTTTACACTAACAAGAAAACAGGAAATGATTTATTTCTAATATCACACTTGACATTCACTTCGATACTCTATCCACAATCCAACAGCTTTTGGATTATTTTCCTGACCAAATCCAAATAAAGTTTCATACAAAACATGCAAAATGTCTTTTGTTTACCATTTAAAAATAGGTAATTCGAGTCATACTCTAAAAACATATTTACAATTGAAGGGCTGAATATTTTCAGTTTCCCTATAATTCAAATAACTGGCTCAGTCTAAAATTTTCCTCACCAAATTAACCCCAAATTAAGCCATCAGAAATTAATGAATCTGCGTTTTGCAATAGATGGAAATTAAAATAATCACATTGACAGAAGTGCACATTGTACATCCAACCAAATGTCTCCTAACATATTATATTTCAAAACTTATTAACAACTGCACTGTTAAAAATGTTCCAGTCAAATGAAAAGTGGACTCATAAACGTGAATTAAATATTGACATTTTCAATATCAATAATTAAAATATATAGAGAAAGTTTAAAAACTTTTCACTATTTATCTGATCTTCACATTTTCATATCAAGAGAAGAATAAATTTATGTCCCAAATTATAAATGCTGAAAATATCTCTAAGCAAATAAATCTTATTTCAGCATATAAGCCATTTTGGCTTTGTTTTGCAGGCAATTGTTTTCTGAATGATCAAAGTTCAAATTCCAGCTCTGGTCTGAGGGTTCCTCATATTAAAAAAAAAACGTATTTGCAAACTCATTCTCCCTGGTATGGTAGAAGTGGGGTCATTCACCTTTCCTCCATTTTCTCTGGTACCATTTCACCTCACTTTACAGATCGGTTTAAGCTCTCGCTACAGTAATTTCTTACAATTTCAATGAAAGTAACACTTATCTAAATTAATGACATATTTTGGGAGCAAATTTACAAGAACTTATTCCACAAAGGAATAATTTTCCAATGCTCAACCCTTCAATTCTTATCATTGTGAATGCCCTGCTCCATAATTTAGTTCAAATTAATCTTGGATGAACCTAATTCATGTTATCTAATGAATTAACTGGTACTTGTGTTTTATATATCATGAATAGCACGTCTTCAAGCTCAATGAACAATCTAAATTATGAAGCACTGAAGAAAGAAGACAAGATCGTAGGTAATAAATAACATCAAAATGAAAGACTCAGAAATGAACAATAGTTACAAGCCTATTTCAATGAAATGACATATTATACAAATAAATAGATGATAAAGTGAAGCATTCTATTCAATGCCTCGAGGCCCATCTATTGGCATAGTATGTAAAACTTCATCAAGTAATTGTAGTGCACGGTGGAGGTGAACCTGCAAAATAAGGATAGTCAATAATGGTATTTTCCAATAATAAAGGCAATAAAAATATAAAATAAACACTTGGATACATTAATGACATGCACAACATTTTGAATGCAATTTTCTTTTCAGAACTACATCATAACATAATACTCAACTATATCAATGTACTCGTCAATATTAGTATCGAAGATTAACACTAGAATAACTATGAGTTACAATCAAATGGGCTATCAAACAGACAGAAGGGCTGACAATCAAACATATGATTGGAAGTTTGATCTTATACAGAGAATTTAATTCCAAGGGAATCATTTCATGTTTTTGAAGACTTCAACCTTCCGACAACAACTTAAAACATAATACGCACAATGGAAAGAACAGACATTGAACAAGAGACTGGGAAATTAACTGGACCTGACGCAAGTGTGGTTTCACAATCTAGGAGTTGTCAAGAATGAAGCAACCTTTACAGATTTGTTATTAACCAATAATTAAACCGTTACCACCACTTATCATGAAATATGCTGTTATTATAATGGTAATGCAAGTACAATCAATTGAGATCACCAAACTAATTTGAATTTAGATCACCACCAATTTGGACAAAACTGAAATTTGATAACAAAGCCCCAAAGTAAACAACTAGCAATATCTTGCTGGCAATATATTACCCTGTCTTTCCCTTACTAGTGTAAACATATTTGCAAAAAGCAGAAACAAATTGTTGTAAGATATTGTGGAAACAGATTGCTAACGTAAAAACAAAATTTGGATAAAGAATTATTCTCCACTCCTGCACCAAAGAAATTTAAGACGAAAGACTGTGAAGTTCAAAGATTAGGGCATGGATCACTCGTGCAACATGTCATGGATATCAGGCCTTAAAAGCTGGTTTGAGACAAGTTATGTTTTTTTCTACTGTACCCTACAAAATGAGACCTATTCTACGTTCTATCACATTTTTGGAAGGTTCTTTCAATCCAAAGCGTGGGTTGCCAAAGACATTTTAATTTTGGTTTCTGTGTGAAGCTATTTTCACTTTTAAAACAATTTTAAAAATTATATTTTTTTGAACACTGCATTTTCGTGAAAAATGTTATGTACCTTTTAATTACATTTTCCACTCGTCTGAATAAACTACACGTTAAGAACTAATTTTTTGTTTGGAAGTGTGGAAACGTGTACGAAATATTTGGGGAACATTCAGGTGACAGATGGGGACTGAATTATATCTTTTAACCAGCATTCTACAAAACAAGACACTTTTGTAAACATTTTCTTTCCAGGTAACAAACCAGATAACAAACATTCCTCTATAATTGAAGGAAGAATTAATGGTTTGCTTCTGATAATTATAATTCTTTAGAATACTTCTGCTAAAAGATTTAGGATTGAAATTATTATAAACAATTGTTTTACAACCTGTTTTATAAATAGGCATTATATAACTGTCTTTCCATGAAGCTGGAAATATTCCTTCTATAATTAATTTGTTGTATAATGGTGAAAATGGCACATTTATCAAATAAGCATGTCTCTTGAGAATGGATGCTGGAATGCCATCCAAACCAGGGCCTTTGAATTTATTAATTCAATTCAATTCCCCAAAGACTTCATTGTAAGAAATTTCCTAGTTCAATAATGTTGTCTGGTTATCACTACTAGGTTGCATCACACCTGAAATTCACATTTCTTGAGCCAGATGTATATGTCAAAATAGTTTGCTGACAGGTTAAATACCTGTGAACCATTTTTTTGCAGTTTCATTTCTAAATATAAGTTCAGTAGCCAATATGTAATATTTTCATGCATTGTTTAATTAGTATTCAAAGTTTTGAAATATTTCAGTTACATTTTTGGGAAATTTAGCCTTCTGGGTACATCCATCCCATAGGATGGGAGATCATAATCAGAATCATACTTGAAATTAAATGAAAAACGTGAAATCAATGGAAAATAAAGCTAATACACCAATAGACCCATCATGATGTGACGGTAATTCTTAAACATTCAGTTCACGGACTCACCGTTTGAAATTGGGATCCACTACGAAAATATTTTCATTTTTATTGTATAAGTGCAAAACGTTTGTACAGAATGTCCAATACAATTTCGTCAGACATCAATTTTTTGATACAGAAAGTTTTTATTCTAACTGATGATAAGTACCAAAGTAATGTAATACAATTTTGTATCAAAATAGGCGTTTTGAACAACATTTAAACATATCAGAATAATAAAATCTCTTACTTCTTTCTGTAACAATTATCATTGGTGTATTTATTCAGTTGCTAATAACCTGAACGTTGATGAGATTTTAAAAAAAATTAAACAAAAAAGAAGTTTGGGAATAATTTTAAAGGGTGAGAAGTTTGTTAGATGCACTTGTATTAGTTGCATGACAAGCCTTCCAATAATATATATTATACCCTGATAACAAATTTTAAATATGCTGTAAATTAATTTTGATGCATACAATCAGGGACAAATGTTCATGCAAGCTTTTCCCTACGACACAGAATTTTTGTTTCTTGACATCAGTCGAGTGAGAGAACTCAGGGCCACTACCAAGTAGATCCCAATTTACCAAACATGGAAGAAAAAGAAAAAAATCCATCGGGAAAATGATAAAAAGACCAAAAAAAAAGTCTTCTTGAGAACATTTTTCAGATATTAAATACACCTGTCCAATCTTCTGAGGTAATGCAATATTTATTCCCAACACAATGCATTACAAAGAATCTCACCTCTATCCAACATGGAGTTTCCTTTATGGACTGACGTGGGTAGTCAGGACCCCAGCCTTTTACAAAACTCAGTCGTAAGATGCAGAGTCTTCGCAGATCATCTACTCCAATGCCAGCAGCTGCACTCAAACCTACAAAAATGAATCTTATTAAATCGCCTTCTTTGTTAATTTTATATTCCACTATGTCATTTTCTTATAGTCTTTATATAGGTTACAGCAAACATCTGAATCTGGCTAATTCGTGAATTAGTCAACTAATGTTACACTTTATCCAACAAGAAGTGGCTAAGGTAGTTGAAGTGACAAGGAATAGCAGATATTATTTGATAAAACGGAATCAGAAAGCTGGTGGGAAGTTTTTAACGGTAGTGAGAGATGAGGTGTGTCATCTTGATGTCAACTGCGTCAGTCATAAATACCGATTTACATGATACTAACGCTGTATTCTTACTAACCTCACTACGTATCTCAGCTGAGTTTGTTTTTGTTTTTGTTTTTGGATCGCCAGGTAGTACATCCACATATGCACTTCTCCCTCACATGCTCCTCCATCACTACGCAGCAGTCAGAATTGGGATGGAATTAGGACAGTGGTAAGGCCTCATTTCGTTGGTACAAGTTTTGCATAAGATTATCCGAGAATCAAACCTGGACCTACTTGGAGAAAGGCAAGTGACTTCGCTCTGAGCTACAAGCTACCCTTCACTACACATTTCCAAGTTGGAGTGATTAGGATAAAGCCTTTGGCCTTAGTGATTTACATAAAACAACCTTGAGTCAGGGCAATGCATAATTTCCAGTGTACTTTTATCTCAAACATTTCGCAAACTCACAAGACACACAACACTCGGACAATCACCTTCCATTCGCCAGCATCCCTTGACTAATTCACGAATTGGCCACACAATGCTGAAAATCCACTCATCATCATTCACACAGCTTCAACTGAACTGCTGGCTAATGTGTGAATTAACCAGCTTATCAATGAATTAGCAATATTTTGGACTTAATCTGTAAAACGTACATGTGATATGCCAGTTCTTTGGTATTTTTCTAGCTGCTGACTTCATGACACATTTTTAACTACAGAAAAAAAACTTACCTATTTACGTGCAGCAGTGATTTGTTAATTACAAACGGCATGTCATTTTCTTGTTCTATAAAATTCTTTATATTACACTTAGCAATTTTCCATTCAAATTCTGATGAATCATATTCCTGTTAAGAAACTCAGTCCTATTTGTGATGCATAAGACTTTTACTTCCTTGTATACTACTTACATACAGCAGAGAACACCACTGCAAAAACCAGAAATTTTCAACAGAAAAACTAGTATTGGGGGTTCCTTATACCAAAAAAGAAGATAAATCTTGTTCCTATTGGAAGTAAAATACTTTTAACACATTGCGTACTCAGAACCCACGTTTTGTGGGTCATCAATTCCGAAATATTGGCTGACAGCAAAACGTCTTTCTGGGCACCCATTTCTGTGCAACGCTCGAGCCTAAATCATTCCGATGATTTTCTTCGAAATTGATATTTTCCCTTTGATTAGGCTGAACTTGTGTCCCTATGAATTTGAATCAAAAAACTTGATTTTTGGGATACTTTACATGATGACTTTAAAACATTTTCAAAATTTTCTCAAAAGAAGGCTCCATATGTTTTTATTAAGTTTTTCCATTGAATAAAGCAAAAGACGCTTAAAGCAATAGTGCAAGTCATGTTTTCTTACACTCTTTGAATTTTCGAAAACGGCAGGTGTTCAAAATTTGTTCATCTTCCTTCAACTACAATATTCAAGATATATTTTTTCACTTTCTTGTATACGAACATATATACAGAGTAATACATGTATTATAGAGAAAGTTATTTAATGCTGCGGAAAATCATTTCGATTTCAAGATTTCACTGGAAATACACAATACAAGGGGCCCTTGTAACGAAAAAGTTATTTTCAAATGTCCATCCATCTGTCTGTCAGTCATATGTGAACAACACTAGCACCTAAACGATTCACAGGATTTTTTCCAAACTGAATAAATGGCCCCTGTAAATCTGGCCTCCCTCTCAGCGCTGCGATTACAAAACACATTCATTAAATTGTTGGGGGTACTTTACATGAAGCCCCAGGAACATTTTTAAATTTTTTCAAAAACGGCAATTTTTTCTTAAAATTGCTAGTAAGAATACAGTGAAATGGACATATAAAGGTAGGGTAATGTTTAATCTGAATTTCCAAAAGCTGCAAACATTTCAATTTTTTTCCAAATCTTCCTACAAATACAAAATTGATGATAGAGCTTTTTCCTTTAAATGAAATTTGTTCTCCATATAAAGTTTCTCAGAAACTCACAAAGTTTCCATGAAAATGAGCTCCTATTTTTGCATTTTCAGAAATGCTCAAACACCATTCTTTCAAAAGCAGCTTCAATTTTTTCTTTAAACTTTTTAAACACACAGTGCTAAACGCAATGTTGAAGATGACACACAAAAGTCACTTTGCTGTATTCTTTTGGTTTTTTTAAAAAATTACACAAATGTATTTTTTTTAAACATGTCTCACATTGTTATTATGCGTATCTACAGCAATTTGTGCACATATTTGTGAGTGTAAGTGCTTTGAATGATTTCCAATGAAGTTTTTCAAAAAAACAAAAGTTTTCTTTGTAAAAAAAACTTCAAATTTCGTATTACTACTGCTTAGAAGACATTTTCTTATAAAAGGCTCTCAATTTTTCAACAATAATTTTCATATAAGACAATGTTTTATTATTCTTTAATACTCTTGAAGTAATATTTTGGTTTTACCTTTAAGAAACTGAAAACTTGAGAACATTTTGAAAAAAACGTAGTTTGAACGGCGATAGATGGAAGCTGGAAAGAAGTTAGGCCAAGACAGAAAAGCTATCCCAGACCTAAGAAATTAGAAAACAAGCTAGTATGAGAAACTCTGCGCCATACTGCAAGTGGTTTTTGCATAATTTTGCGTGAAATATAGGCAATTTTTCAAAAATTATTCAAAAAACAGACTCATTTTTTAATTCTTTACCTTAGAATAGACAATAAAAATGGTACAGGCCCAATTTTGGTGTACTATGTATTTTCCAATATTGCAAAACTACACAACTGATAACATTTTTTTTTTTCTTAATAGAATCTGTAAACAATTAGTTTTAGTGTAAAGACAGTTTTAGTGTAATTTTTGAAGTAAAGATTTTTTTTTTAATCTCAAAAATGGCTGTAAATTTTTTCATGAATAGAGTAAAACATTATTATTTATTTAAAACAGGCAATTGCCCAATTTTATATATAATTTTACAATTATTATTATTCTACATAAAACATACATAATCGTGGTGATTTGACTATAAACATGAAATATGCGAGGTGAGGTTAATTTAAATTTCCAGGCTGCAAACATTTATGTTGTACTGTTACTAATTTATTGCTACGAACATAAAAAGGAGACCATACAGGCAAAGCGTATAGAAGACTTGGTCTTATTAATGTGTAATATAGTGTTTTAATGGTATGAGCTTTTGTCAAATTTGTAGCCTTTCTTCTAAGAAAACCAAGCATTCTATTTGCTTTTGCAACAATGAAATCTATATGTTTATTGAATTTTGGTTTTGGAAAAAAAATCACGCCCACATCTTTTATTTTCATGACAGTTTCTAATTCTTGTCCATTTATCAAATAAGAGGATATAATTGGATTTTTAGACTTTGTATATCTCATGATTTCACATTTTTGAATATTCAAGCCCAATTTATTATTTTTATACCATCGAAGTAAAGCATTCAGGTTTTCTTGAAGAATATTACAATCATCTCTTGATTTTATTTCCAAAAATAATTTTAAATCGTCTGCAAGAAGTAAGAAAGAACAAGATGGAAGAGCCAATTTAATATCATTTATATATAGTAAAAATAATAATGGTCCCAAATGTGAGCCTTGAGAAACTCCTGATGATGTTACAATATCATTTGAGATAAAACCTTTATATTGCACATTTTGAATTATCCTAATCAGATAACTTTTCATCCATTTCAAAAATAATTCATGAATTCCAATATATTTAAGTTTCTTTAATAAAATTTCATGGTTTGTAGTATCAAAGGCTTCTGCAAAATTTGTTTATATCATCAGTTTGTGAGTTTGACTCTAAATTTTTAAGAATATAATTTTGCAGAATTAATAGATTAGTAGTTGTTGATCTTTTCTTTTCAAAACCTTGTTGTTCATTTAATAATATTGAGTTTATTTTTGATGTCAGTATGTGTGATATGTCCCATTGTTTATCATTGAATCTACATAATAATTTTCAACTTCGAATTTTGAAAGATTCAAATATTTTTAGAATTACAATCAATGTCGTGATTGGTCAAGAATTATCAATTTTTGATCTGTCATTTGAATTAAAAACGTTATAACTTCTCCTCCATATCATTAGAAATACTCCTTCCTCTAATGATTTAGTAAATAAGGCATGAAGAATTGGTACAATGTTCACATCACAATTTTTTTAAACCATGGCGGTATATTATTGGGGCCTGGACCTGTCCTTCCATCAAGTATTTTTACTTGCCTTGCTTATCGGTAGCAAGTGCTGCAAATACTGTAACTGTTGTGATTTATTCTGTTTTTTTCTTTTGTAAAAAAATACTATTGTAACAGGCTGTCAAAATAATTGCAACTGTTTGAATTGGTTTGGATTTTTGATGTGATGGCACAAGAGTTAGCATTGCAGAAATTGCAATATTATAATATTATAGTTCAAGTACTTAGAAAAAAACCTGGATTAAACATGTGCAAAAAGTGGCTGAGAGGAGGGTTCCCTCACTTCGCAGCCCAACTTCCCTGCCAGAGGAGCTGCCACACCTCGACCTGGGTGGGCTGGGACAAGGCTGCCTGATCTTGACAACTGTTCCAAATCCTAGTGTAGAAGGTTGTCTGTATCTCTGATTATCCTACCATATCAAACGGCTTTTGAGTGTGAGAAATGTCGTGTCGAGAAAAATGATATTCCTTCCCTTCTCCTCATGTACATTCGCCACGAAGGGCTCTTATTTTGGAATTGACCGTTGAGAGATCAGGTTCATGAGATAGTGTATTGAGCGACACGATATGAAAATCGCATACAATACAACACATGCAAACATTGTAAAAATGACTAGCAATGCAGAAAGCATTTCAAAATCAACTGTGAAGGAAATTGAGAAGGTCAGGAAAGCCAAGCAAGGGACAACAAGTGATGACTTTCTTGTGTAAGGAAGAATCACAGCAGCATCATGGTGAAAACAGTGAGAACAAAGTTGCAAGAGCAAATCAGTTTTCGTTGCAGGTGGTCCTCGAGTTCAACTGAGCTCCCACTCGGTAGAAGTGGGGTATGGCTTTGTCACACCTCCCAAGGTAAACAATGTCATGATGTTTTTTTCTGTACATAACTAGCTGATCGGGACAGCCAAGATCACTAAGGCAGTAGTGCCGTGGCAATCTCAGTTGGAAAGATTGCAGGTTGAGCTGAATTGTAATTTTTCTTAATTGTACTCAATGAGCTGAATTGTAATTTTTCTCAATTGTACTCAATGAGCTGAATTGTAATTTTTCTCCTAACTTTTAAGCTTACAGTAAACAGTAAATACCAAGTCATAAGATATAGACATGGATTTCCCAGTCCTTACAAGATCCCTGAGTCTTAACTTGTAAAAGGATAATTTACAGAGGCAATTGCAAATGATCCAATGCAAGCACTCACGTACACCCCCAGACACACATTAAAAAAAAACTCACTAATGGCAGGTGCTATACCCCCAACAGAATGAGGCCCTGGAATGTGGCCAGCCACAGCAGCTGCCTGCGCAGCTGCAGCTGCCTGCGCGGTGGCTGCCTGCTGCTGCATTTGCCTGTGGCACTGGCGAAGGTCAAATACCTGCAAAAGGCAAAGCAAACAGCTTTTCAGGAAACATACTTTCCTAGTCCTGACATTTTCTGGTAGGTTCTTGGGAGTGAACTAACACATTATGCCCTGAGGAAGGTCGCAGAAAAGCAACCGAAAAGTCGGCACCTTTGCCATGGACGCAGCGTAATCCGGACTGCCTAATAAATACATTATCCTGACTCCATCTTATATATTTTTCTTAAATTTTGTAAAGGTGCATCATTTGGAAAGAAAATAATGGAGTATCAACTGACTGGCCAGATTGCTTCTTTTCTTCTTGGTATTTCCTAGCTAAAATACAACCCTTGAGTGGATGCACACACAATTTTGGTTTTCTCTTACAGACCATGCTATTGTGACCTGTACTTGACCTGTATTGTAACCATGCTATTGTGACCTGTACTTGAGGTCAAAAGGCATCAATGCATTTCTGAATCATTTGGAATCTTCTTTTAAGAATCCTCTATGAAACATAACTCAGAACGCAAGCAAAACTGAAAAATGAGATCATCAGATCTGCTTATTATGATGATGAGTTGTGGAGAGATAATTACAGGGCATGCAAAATTTACTTGGGAGTACTGTCTTCCCCCTCCAATAACCCATTGAATGTGGTTGATTAAATATTTTATTATAAATCATGTCATTGTGAGTCTCTCTCCACATTTTGCTTTGTGCTTATATGTACTGTTTGTAAAATTCTCAATAATTGATTTTAATTTGGAATAAATTTAAATTAATAAATAAAATAATAAATAATAATAAAATAATAATGAATTTTAATTTGGTGTTTCCGTTTCACCCATACTATGATTGTCTAAAATTTGAAGATGTTAATACCATCCCTGGCATCCTTAATAGCTAAAACTATCATTTTACAGCTGTACAGCTTTAGGCACATTTAAGAATATGACTTGTGATTTGCAGAGGACTTTGGTTGTAATCATTTTACTAAACCAGATGCTACACAAATGAAATACCAACATTATTATAATTACTCGTATTATTAGTTTTACCTTTATGTATGCACTTGGATATATCTTGTGCACAGCATCACCTGGTGCTCTGCCAGCTTCCCGATCCAAGTAGTAACTCTGTACAAAGACAGAGTGGTCACTAAGACATCGTAACCACACGTCTCCTTCTCCTCTCAAATCAAGCTGCACACCTTTTCCAATATGTAACCTATGAAATGAAATAATAAAAGATGTGCATTGAACACACACAAATAATAAACTAGTGGAACTACAACAACATACTTTTTCGCATTATTTGTAAAGGCTACGCAATATAATACTACATGAACCTGGAAAAGTGTTTCCGACCAGCAAAACTTTTTTCTATGAGCTACTTTTGTCATATCCTTGGAGTATATATGGCAGACACGTCACCCCTACACCTCCAGCCCCACAGCTAAACTCAATTTACCTAAAGCTTAAAAAATTGAACATTTGTATTTGTATTTTTCAAAAAATTCAGAGATTTTATTTACATTATTTCAAAATCTATTTTTGAAGAACAGATTTCATTAAGGAAAAAATCTCTATTATTGATATTGTAGTTTTGCAAGGATTGGCACAAAAAATTTCATGCACAAAATTTTGAAGCCTTTTCGAGAATATTTTTTATAAATTGCATTAACTTTAAGCAAAAATTACCTTGAAACTTCTTGTTTTTTCCAAAAAGTGTACATGACCTTCTTTATACTAAATTTTTTAGAATAGAAAAGTCCCTATCATTAATTTGGGTTTGAATTTTGATTTCGGGGTTAGTGATATTGTTACCATTTTCTAAACAAAGGCTCGAAACTGTTCAGCAAAAGTTTTTACTATCGCATCAAGCAGAAGAGGAACTCACTATTCCTTTGTAGATTATGATTGTGAATATAACCATTCAAGACTGCAAAAACATGCTTAATTCTATGAGGAAAGGGAGCTACATTAAACTTTTGTACAATCTGTAATCTTTTTCTGTGCTTTTTCTGTTACTTGTCTACCATTTTTTTTCTATTTCTTTAAGGATTTCCAATACTAGATGGACAGAACTCTTCTTGAATAAAAAAAATATTGGCCAATGGTTTTCTGTATCAGCCATTCCATTTGTTACGGACATGACACTTTGACACCGTTTTTTCTTCAATTCTTTCTTCTCAAGCAAAATTTAGTGCATTTTCTTGACCAAAATGTATTGATATAAAGTGTACAATGTTTTGAAATGCTGAGAGTTTCTGCAATCATTCCGCCACTCAACTGACAGTCACAACTTAACTGATTGTAGACACATGCCAAATTTCGTTAGTTGTGCTGGTTGAAGGCTGTCCAGTGCTGAGTTCATCAACCAAGTCTTCCTGGCCTTCCTGAAATGCTTTCAACCACCTCAAAATTGGTGAATATAATAGAGCATTGACTCTATAAGCTTCAACACTTAATTAGTAGGTCTCCGCAAGAGATTTGTTCAATTTTGAACAAAACTTTACAACACAACTTGAGCTTGAGAGATAGTTCTATCACGTTTCGTGACACAGGCACTAATCAGGGGTACATGGCGACAATGATCCTGGTACCCCAACTGCTCAGAGCAGACTGGAAAAGGCATCACTTTGAAGCTGAGATCCCACCCCCTTACTCAACTGATAGAGGGCACTCTGTATCCATTTTAAGTACCCGCACAAAAAAATGCATTACTGTCCAGACACATTGTATTATTACATTTAAAAGTTGGTAGAGTGATATTACCTTGTCTTTTTAATATGGTACTTGCAAAGTCATTCAGCAAAAAATCAAATGAAATTGTACATTTAAAAGTCTCTCATAGATGTTGAAGACAGAAGTATAATAGTGTTAATATTAGAGTGTAGTCATGATAGAAATATCATGCTAAAATTCTGAAAAATCACAGTACCAATTCTAGTAGGTGTCATCTGTGAACATAAAATGAAGACCTGACACTACACACAAATAACACCAAAGTTCTAACAAGTCGTTTATACACAGTCCCGAGCATTTGACCCGATTTCAGATTGCGATAATACGAACCTCTCACAAATATCAAACGTCCAGAAACATTACTAATATTCTTAATATGCCTGTTGAACTTCAGTTTTAAATAAAGCTCACTTAAGTCTCTCAATGATGTAAATGTTTTCAAATTTGCAACAGTTACCACAATCGATTTTAGAATTATTTCAGATTTTGCAAACGTAATAGATACACATTTCTCCAAGTTTGAATAAATATTATCATCATTAGTCCATGTTGAAAGCAAATCTATGTTGCATTAAAAATTACACAATCTGCGCCCATTTCAAGAGCTTTCAAAATTTTCAATTCATCTGCAAAAAGCAAATACTCAGTGTGTGCAAGTTTATAATCAAGATCAGTGATAAACTATTAAGAAAAGGGGACCAAGATGCAATCCTTGAGGAATGCAAGATGAAGTGTGCATAATATTAGATATGATTTTTGATTCTAACACTCTGTGTTCAATTGGACATGGCAGCATACTACTAGTAATGATACAGAAACATCAAATTATCTGAATTTGTCTATGAGTGATTCTTTGAATCAAGATTATTGCTAAAGTCTGAGTTAACACTGTAAACTTGAAAATTTTATCTAGTGATTTAAAAATGCAATTGGAATATGTAATTACATTTTTCAATACTTTTTTTCTCAGATAAATGTATTGAAGTAATGTTCTCTACAGAAATTTAACAATAAAGTTTATAATACCGTAAATGCCAATTGACTGTTACAAGTTTTAAATCTTCTGATGAGCTTTCACATTCTCAATAATAAATATAACACACCAAACATGCTGTCTTCCATTGATTAAGCCATTTGACCCTCATTCAACACCCTATACTCGATCTGTAGCTTACAAGCAGTACACATCAATCGTTTCTAAATGAAAGCTGATTTTATCTCTCACTTTATTAAATAGATTGCTGGTGAGGTAGATACCATCTAATAATGAAATATGGTAAATTAAAAGTGTTGTCTGGTATCAATCATTTATTTAGCTAACGATCATTTCGATCACATAGCGATCATCCTCTGAGCTTGCAGCTTCTGGGCCGAAAACAAAGTTCTGCTGATTGATTGTTTCATAAAATGTGTAACAATCAATTGGCAATTACAGCAAAACTTTGTTTTCGGCCCCGAAGCCGCAAGCTCTGAGGATGACCGCTACATGATTGAAATTATCATTAGCTAAATAAATGTTTGATACCGGACACTTTTAATTTACCATAGTTCTTTATCTTCCACTTTTACAATACAATACAATTCTTTACCTTGCCTTTTCACTCTGCTCAGTCCGATGAACATTACTGAGAGCACCAAGGCAGAATCGATTGCCACCTGATGGATCCACATATCCATCAACAGTGACATTAGGACATGACGAGGGTACTTTAAAAGTCTCTCCAACTTGAGTGTCCAGTTCAAAATAAGCGACAGAACACCAATACTCTGGGGCTGGTTGTGTTGACAACAGACCAGTGAGAGCTACGTCAGTCCCCAAAGGTCCTGTGCTGTGGCCCCCTGAAAAGAAACAAATTCAAAATTAATTTTTTGCCCAGGCTTGAGATGGAAAAATGGCAGAAACAACATTCAGGTTAAAAAAGTTATAGTGAATTTTTCCTTTTCATTACCACAAAACCATTAATTTGAAGCACCATTATGTTATTGAAATTCATTGTTATATCTCCTAATAAATAACTGAATAATTTTTGATTTCTTCTTTGAAACTTCATACACAAGTGTAAATTACAATTATTAATTGCTTTACAAGCACATAAAAATAGAAGAATCGTAGTAGTAGAGTAGAATTGAATAACACACAGAAATAAAACTTAATATTTCATGAGTGAATTTCACTCTTTTTCCATGCCCTTTACTCTATTCACTTAATTTATTTCAATTCTCAGACAATTCATCCAATATTACATCGTGACAGATCCCAATGTGTGATAGTGAAAGGAAGAAATTAATTTCATAAAATGAAGAATGTGCATGCTGGAAGCATTGGTTGCGGGTCAATCGATTATAACAAGTGAAGTCTTGGCCAAGAACAGGAGGTCAAGCATGGGTCACTAGATATTTAAAGGGTTTCCACAGAATCAAATGTTCTGCTCAGTAAGGAAAATTAAAAAAGTATTGAGAAAATGGCTTGCTCACTTTGCACATCAGATTTCTAGAGCTCCGATTATACCAGAGAGGGTGCATGTGGATGTGTAATATAGCAGAGTTCAGAGGGAAGATGGTTTTACAAATAATTAATGGAAGAATTGGAGTGGATTTAATATGACAAGATTTAAAGTGGATTTAATATAACAAGGGAAATGTTACAACATTAAGTATTCAAGATAATAACTGTGAGAAATAAGGCAATGTCAAGTTATTTTTTTAAATCGTTTAAATGTGTGCACAAATGGTGCAAGTGGCACATAATATTGAGAATCAAAATTGTGATGTTGTACTATTTATTAATAAAGTGTAAAATTAGCTGTTAGGATTAGAAAATTAAAATTTTAGTTTGTTCCAGTAGAGGAGGTTTCTTGGAGAACCCATTAGTGTGTGCTGTGATTATCACCAACCTTTATCTTTCCCTATAACTGGCAAAGGGAATAAGGGATTTGTGGGTACAATACAACACACAAATATAGAACTCGAGTAACATGTACATTAGAATGATGGCAAAAATACAAATATAAAATATAAACTGTATGCAATACTAAAATGATAAAATACATATGTTCCATGGGTGTCATGTACAGTATCTCCAAAATTTGAAGGTGTTCAAAATCTCACAGCTTTGAGTCATGCCAGAGCCTTCGAGCTGAAGGACTGGGGCATGTTTATTTTAGTCAAAACCCTACAAATAGTTTAGTTGCAGACGGACGGAAGTTTTGAAAGAAAGAAAGAAAGAAAGAAAGGAAAACAAAAAACAAACACTACTTTTTTGATTACAGGTGACCCTAAAACATGCGTTTCCATTGAAATACCAAACTCAATTTTCCATCGTTTTACATAACTTTCTCTACACTACATACATTACTCTGTGTATGAATAAATCTTCACAACAAAGAAAAAATGGTCTGAAACTTGGCTTTTACCACTCAACGGCTTGAAGTGTAAAGTTCTACATTTAGGAGAGAAAACCCAACACTACCTTATACTAGAAAGAAGAGAAAGAAGAAGAAAACTGGTCAAAACTTGCCTACTTCTTCTCACCATTTCAAGATTTAAAAATAGAATGTATTTATATTTTAAAATTTTATGTAGTTGCTAACAGAATTGATATGTATTGTTTTAACAATAATAATAATAATAATAATATTAATAATAATAATAATAATATTAAAAATAATAATAATAATAATAATAACAATAATAATAAAATTACATCTTGCATTAGCATTAAAATAACATCTTCAAATTTTAAATTATCTGCTACTAAAAATAATTATCTACTGTATAATATCCTCATTTATCTGTAACAAGTACTGTAGTATAATTTCTAGGCCAATGACTCCATCTCGATCAGGTTTTGTTCAGTTTCCCTGGTCCCTTGAGCAAAGGCTTGAAGATGGCCCCTTGTTTGGGCCTTTGATGAGCCCCCTCCTGAACATTAATGTAAGCGTCGCTCTTCTCCCACCCAAGACATCATATTGACTCGTCATACACGATTGTAATGGCATTTATGTGACTTTCAATAAATAATAATTAATAAATAATAAATAATTAATTATTATTATTATTATTATTATTATTATTATTATTATTATTATTATTATTATTATTATTACTATCAGGATTCATGTTACTGCATTAACAGAACCAAAATGGACTCGGAGTGATTATCACCTCGGATCTGAAATGGAAAAGCCAAGCTCGAACTGAGGCAACAAAATGTTAGCAGGTCAATTTAACTCAACTAAAAATTGGTAGAAAGCATTTGCTGACCAGGTCATAGAGACAGGATAGAAGCTGACAGTTGAAGCTACTCAGCCTGTAAGAGAGGAGAGAATGAGGTTATCCAAACGCAACTTACAAGACACTTTGTGGTAAAAACATGAAGACATGTTTTTGTGGAATCTTCATCAAGTCGTCTGTTAACACACTAAGAGATCATTCAAAGAAGTTGCAGAAGAAGAGGGTCTGAACCAACCATCGATCCTACTTCGTCACAAATAGAGTGGTTAACACATGGAACAAACTTCCAAGGGCCTATGTTGAAGCAAGAAGTATTGCATCCTTCAAATCTCTGGGCAAGACTAGATACAATCTGTGATATTAATCAAGTCAAAGAAAAACTATAATACACAAGATTTAATGCAAATGTAAACATAGTTTTGTTTTATCTTACCTAATGTATTGTATATTAATTGTTACTAGTGGTCATCCAATGGTCGAATTCAACCATAATTCATTAAATTTTTAAATTTAATATAACTGGAATTCTTTTGTCAAATAGAATACCTGCATAATTATTGCATATATATTTTTTTTAAATTTTCTATTATGTCTGCTGGGAGTGTGTACAAATGTCATTAGCGGGGTGTTGTTTGCTGTAATTTCCTGCAATACCTACAAATTTTGGAAACCTGTGAAAGCTGGGGGCTCCCTGGGCTTCTCATCCCTCCCGCATGGGTGAAAATGTATAATGAAAACTGGTGTCTTCACCTCAATCCCCAACAGAGCAAAGTCCTTCAAGTCAAATACACTGTCTCCAATACCCTTTGTTTATGTGTAATGTTATGTTAAGTGTCACCTCCAATGTCATCTCCAATGCCAGCATTTGCATTAGCACTGATACATACTTCAGTCCTATTAATTATTGCTTTATTTTAGTTTCAGTTCAAGGAACTGTATAAAATTGGATTCACTAGTGGCTTTGCAGCAGCAAAACTCCTTCTGAACAAAACCCCACAAACTTGTTTCCCAAAACGGAACACAAACATTGCTCAAGATCAAATATACTGGTACAACACAGCTATACATAATGTCAAAATTCAGTCTTCAAGAACATTGCAATAATATAGAAGATTATATTCAGATACACTGTAAAACAGTTCTTTACACATGAAAAATATGAAAATAAGTTGCTGTACCAATCTGCAACACATGAATAATAAATATTTTACAGTAGGTGGCGTCTTTCTTGAGGCCATGCTGTCACATGACATCAGCTACATCATAAGCAGTGATGTGCTTTTTTGAGATGAAATCAAAACTGTTTTCAAGTTTTTAGATTTTTCCCAATTGTTTAATGTTTTTGTATTTTTCATAACTGTTTCTATGTTTTTTTGGATTTTTTCCAAGTTCCAGGATATTAGATGAAACCACAAGACAACTTTCACATATCGGAGACTGAATCATTTTCTTTCAATTTCTGGGCTTTCTGGGCACATTAGAAATTAATAACGGTTATAGTAAGGAAAACCATTACTCTCATACTGGTTTTCCTAACCAAATTCGTTCCTTATTTTCTTTCCCTTCCTTTTTTGATAATATTAATGCGAAGATTCTTTGTTGATTTCCTACTTTTAGCCCAAAGAACAATAGCTGTTTTTAGACTAGTGTAAGCACCACCATTACATAATATATCTTCAATATAGATAGCTGCAACTTACAAAAGCCAGTATGAGGAGCCCGAGGGTCTGGGGGTTGCATGCTCTGCGTGTAAGTGAGAGTGTTGTTGCCAGTCCACGTGCCCCCAGCGCCTGGTTGCTGTTGCTGAACTTGTTGTTGGCTATTGGCTGCACCACTCATGGAACCAGCAGGGGTGTAGCCATTCTGTTGTAGGTGAGGTGACACAGGACCCTGTGAACCACCTGTTGTACCATCTGTGCTCTGCTGTGGATTTCCTCCTGAAAAGAGAAGTTCATAGAGTGTCTCTGCAGCAGACCAGAAAGCTTAAATATTGTGATTCCCAATTGTAACTAGAAGGAGATGAAACAATTTTACATTTTAAAAAATTGAAATCATTTTGAACATTTTAATTTCATTTTCTTTAATTTAATAAAATAAAATTCATCAATATCATTTTCTGTTAGGCAATGAATCATTTCAGTTTCAGCACCAACATTATTAAATACTAGGGACAATGAAAGTTCTAGCTCTTTTGGAACATCTCATTTTAACCGATACATTTTTACTACATGATAATGGAATATAACTGAATAAAGAGTTTTCTCAAGTGAAATATCTTTGCATTGTAATATGAAGAACTTTAAAGGTGGGATTTCAAATTTCAAATAAGTGAATAAAATTACACTATTATAGCTCGGCTGCTTTCTATTTTTCAGTTATTGCTACTTACTGAATATATACTACAAACGAGGATACCCTTGTGTGAACTCCCACATGTTAAACACTACCTTCTTCCCTTTCCTTCCATTTTCATATTAAGGGGGAAAGTTGTTAACTGAACATGTTTGTTTAAAAAATGTATAAAAAAGTATACTGGCCCATTACATATAATTTTCTTTACGGCTCACTTATCCTTTGTCACTTGTTCTACATGCCTCTTTGCAACTGCACTACCTGAACGTACTTTAACATAACGGTACACAGTATACACTCTTATCAATACAAACTATTTTTATTTAACTTTATTACCAAACAGAGAGTACACTATACAATTCAATCGCATAGTATATCAAGTAATTAGTTTAATTTCACATACAGCTGCAAATTCTGCATGTCTCTGAAAAGGAAGACTAGTATCAAAAAGTGCCATACCAGCAAAAATATAATAGAATTTTTAAGAGGACCTCATCTTTTAGATCATGGTGTGAGGAACATTCCTTAGAGGCCCTTGGCTATAAAATTCCAGGTTTTAAGGCCCCAGAATGCTTCCTTTTGGAGTCATACATTTTAACAATGCTGCCTGAGTGTTGCGAGTTGCATTTGAGATGAATAATGCATTTCTTTTTCTTTTTTTCCTTTCCTTCAACAAATCCTTCATATTTTTAAAGTTAAAATGCAATTTGTCAGTCTCCTTGAAATCCTCTTTCTTTAGACTTTATAAAGATGTGAGCATGTGAGAACCACAAAACTCACTTATACTACTAAAATAAAATAGAAGACGATACCGAAGTTTGAAATTATGACTACAAGTTAATCAAAACTCTTTTGACACTATCCACCCTCTACATCTCTACTGCTTCATTCCACATTCCAATTATACAAATCTGCCCTTTACATCACTGCCCAGTCATCCCAAATCATTCTCCCTCCTTACCTTGCACCCTGAACGTGACAGTAACACTTTCTCTCTTCTTACAACCTCAGACAAATATGCAAAAGGAAGTCTTCCCTGGATGTATACCAACTAAACGTTTTAATGCTCAAAGAAACCAACAATGAGTCTACCACAATAATACATCAGATTTCTTTGTATAAGCCTATTCAACACTTTAGTATGGCCTTTGACTCTAGCCTATGCCCAACGTGAAAAGGGACAGTGTTCCTAACCCAAAGGAATTTCTTGAAGAGTAAGAAAAGGTAGAAATAGTGGAGAGGCGAAATCCAAACTATAAAATGGATGATCAAACATTTTCCAGAGGAAATGCTGCTGAAGATCTGCTGTGAAATGACCATGTGTGGCTGAACATTATCAACCAGGAACACAACACTAGTACCGAGTATCCCAGGGCTGAAATGGCCTTCCAATAATTTTTCAGTAGCACAGAAACTTTCAGGATTTACAGTCTCACCTCTGACAAAGAATACAATGAGTAAAATACCCTTTCTGACTCGTAATACAATGTGAAATAATTTCCTTTGTCTTGGTTGGAGATCCAGTGAGATGCCAATGCATTGACTGCTGTTTGGTTTCTGAGGTAAGGTATTCAACCCATTTCATCACCTGTGAGAATTTGATTCAGAAACACATTGCCATCATTGTGGTACTTCATGGTGTGGCTCTAGAAATATCCAATGCTGATCCCATGCCCTTCACTTTGTATTCAAGTGTCAGTCACTTTGGCACCCACCTCACACACACTTAAATAACAGATTTTTCATGGCTATAAGGAAAGGGAAATATACGAGAAAAATACAAGAATGTATGTGCTGCTGTACCACTATTAAATTAGTTTAATCTTCAATCTCTTTGATGCAAACTTGTGCAGTAAATTCAGGAAGATTTTGTGTCAATGGTTTCGTATAAATGGAACAAAACATTCATCTTTCTTTAGCGCGTTACATATGGAGCGAATAACAATTTTGTCCTTGTGTAATCCTAATGAACACCTACCCAGTGTAGCAGCAAGTGCCTGGGAGTCTGCAGAAGGAGACAGCCCATTGTCTGTTGTAAAGAAGTTGGAGCCAGCTGCCGGGGCAGGTGATACTATAGGTGCAGCTCCACCAGGGGGCTGGGAGCCAGCAGCTGGCGGCTGTGGTGTTGGCGACATCATGGGATGGCCTGGTGCAGGGGCTGCTGAACAGTCACCACAGTCAGTAGGTTCTACACTGTACTCTCTATACTCTCCACTTTCAGCTAAGACCAAATAAATAGTACATTCATACATTCTTATTTAATAACGAAATTATTGTCTGGCAATTATTTAATAATCAATCTCCTTCCTTTTTCAATCGTATCAATCTTTTTTCTTTTTTTTTTTCTTTTTTTTTCTTTTTTTCCCTCTCCCTTTTCCTTTTCTTTTCTTTTTGTAGTTCAAATAGGTTCAATTATGGGTCAAAATTTGAATCTAATGAATTCTACTCACTCACCTTCAGATTCTATTTTCATTAAACCAACTACAAAAGTGGGTTCAGAGCAATCAAGGAATATCAATTTTGGAGAAAATTATCTGAATGGTTTTTGGGCCAGCATTGACAGCAAACTGATAGGCATGTTAAGTGAAACGATTTTTCGGTTTCAAGGACTCATAAATCATGGATCCTGGCTACTACATGTGTTTGATGTAGTAATTTTTTATACACAGGAACATGACTTACCCACTTTTTCATTACCAGGGCCCATCAATAAGAGTTTTTCTGTCGAAAATTCTTAGTTTTCTGGCACATGATATTAATACTTTCTCTTCTTATGAAATAAGGGTGAGAAAATAAAACAGAGACACCACAGCGGTAGATAACGTAAATACTTGCCTAGCCTATCGTTTTTTAACTTTCCTGGATGTTTCACTTTTTTCAATCAGCTCCTTTAAAAGCGTAAAAAAAGGGGTGTTACTCTATATGATTTGTGCAATTTTAGGATACAATATTTCCTTCGCTGTTATTGCGTAACAAATAAATCTGATCTTAGTTGTACAACTTATTCTGCTCTATTCAAAGAAAGTAATATGAATTTTGCATTTATTTACACACAGTGAGTATTTTTCATTAAAGTTTTCAGACAGAATTTAGTGTCAAACAAATTCCTAACTTGTGAAAAAGTGAAGCCTGGCTTGCAAAAAATCAACATTACACTGTTTCTGAAAGCATCATTTCAACATCCTATGTTTTACCATTACTTCATAAATTACAATATAAAAAAAAAGATGATTTTGGCAAAAAAGAAAACTAGAGATGCTAGAGAAAGGTGTAGATTTTCTTACACAAGTTGCTTTTTTAGTTTTTTTTTTGGTCTGGGCTAGCTTTTCAGTCTTGCCCATTCTCTTGCAAGCTGCTGTCTTATTGCTCAAACTACATTTTGGTGAAAGTTCATCAATTTTTTGGTTTCCTAATGGTAAAACCCAAATATTACTTTATGAATATTATAGAACATTAAAACCTCATCCTGTATGATTATTTGGGGTTGGAGACAAAGTAGAATCAGAACTGATGCCTGTTAGGTCCTTTACAGCAGTTTTTTCCAAAAACAACTGTTTTTCTTTTAACAAAATTAGTAGTTTCAAAATGCAAGTAGAAATATTTTTCCAAAATAGATATTCTGCTATCAACATGATTTAAATCTAGACCTCAAGAATTTTGAAAAATAACTTAATTACCAGACTTCATATTTTATTTTGAAGATTTCTCAGAAAATACTCATTTTTTTAAAATTACTTTTTTGGAAATCAGACACTTAATCATACTGTAAGAATCTCATTTTCTATTTTCTGAATAAATAAATCTTCAAATTATCTTGAAACTTCCTGGGCATCATATTTTTTGGAATTTCATTCATAATACAAAAATCTTTATGATATAGCAATTTTAGAAGATATTTAGCAACAGTTTTTAGGATCTTTATAGTTTCTGCATATATTCAAATTAAGTTATGAGAGTTCCTAATATTTTTTGAAAAAATGGCATATTTTTTATCTTAACATATTTTATACAGAGGGAGAATATTTAATCAAGTGATCTGATCACCATTCTCATTATGTTTCATTTTTTAAGTATTAAAATGTCTCAATGTTTTTGAACTTCTCAACTAGACTGGCATAATATTAACTATCACATAAAATATAAACCAAACGAAAAACCAAGCACATAGAAAAAATTAATATTGTAAATCTAACTTCCATTTAAGGCATCACCAGATTGGTCAAGAAATAGAAAGAAAGAAATAGAAAGAAAGAAATAGAAAGCAAGAAAGAAATAGAGAGAAAGAAAGAAAGAAATAGAGAGAAAGAAAGAAAGAAATAGAAAGAAAGAAAGAAAGAAAGAAATAGAAAGAAAGAAAGAAAGAAAGAAAGAAATAGAAAGAAAGAAAGAAAGAAAGAAATAGAAAGATCTACATCTCGGAGGTCATTCCATGAAACTCCTAAAATTAAGACAAAAATTGGTTCAACACAAAAACGTCTTGAGAAACACTAGAGTTGTAGATCTGTGGAACAGCCTTCCTGACCCCCCCCCCAGGACAGCATCTTCGATTGATGTATTCAAAAACCTCTACAATCACTTTGTAAATAAATGTACTTATTGTTACTATTCTACACTCTCTGACTTTGATTATATACTACTGTGCAATTCTATATTTTGTTTATTGTACTACAATTTTTAAATGTTTATTATATTATACTTGCACAGAATCTGGTTATAACCAGTGTATACCCTGTATCATTCTTCTTTTATCTTTCTAAATGTTTAGTTACTCGTTACTGGCTTCTATTAGTTAACATCATATAAAGAGACAAAATGAGACAAGAAATGCTAAAAGAATGATCATATAATTTTCAGAAATATTCACAAATACAATAAATGTGTACTTCTCAGGACAAAAACGGGCCAAAAAGCACATTGTGAAACTTGTTTACCATTGAAAAACAATTATTAAAACTGAAATATTATTTTACTACTGAAATGCAGATTACTTGCACCACAAAAAAATTGGAAATTAATATTTCTATCACCGAATTGCAATTGATTTATAACACAGCCCTTACAATGAGGCAATCTTGTGGGAACCCAAGATGATCGAGGGCATGCATCAGATTGTGGCTCCATCTTAGAGGTCCGGCCCGGAGCTCCAAATAAAGACATATCACCTGCAGAGCATAAGGACTCATTCATGCAAGCCAAAACAAGGAACTGCACAGAAGGAAGAAAAAACATTAACAAACAATTAAAAATAAATGAAATCAGACAGAAAGCTGCTACTAAAAATACTATCAGGCAAGAAATATGGCCACTAAGGCAGGAAGATTGCAATTCACTGGCCAAAATTAGGAATAATTATTAAACTAAGAAGTGTACTTTAAATATAACTAAATTTCTGTGATAAAATTCAATACACTACTAAACTTAATATGGGTAAAAGTATAAATAATAATAATAATAATAATAATAATAATAATAACAACAATTACAAAAACCATAATAAAAAGAGCTATTTTAAGCAATCATATAGGAACACGTACTGTGTGTTTCTTGTCGTTATTCTTGTAATTCTCTTCAACCATACATTAATATTTTAGTAGTGAAAAATGATGAGTAAGTTATTTATTTGGGTTGCTGAGTGGTATCTCTAGGCATTCAATGTGTTTGCAAATGCAAAAATGTAACAGTAATCAAAAGTTGGGATACATCTATGGCAATGGCAATTTTCTATTTGACAATCCTGGAGCTCAAGCTATGAAGATGAAGATAGACACTTATTGATTTGAATTAATTGAGGTGATTATATCATGATTTGAATATTTTGCTGCATTTATATTTAATACCTTTTCTTGGGTAATATTTCTTGACCTGCTCTCCATTATCTAGAGATATAATACAGTGCTTTCTTCTGATTATGACCCACTTCAACAGCTTTCAGTAAGTCTTGATACACAATAGCTTACTAATTTACTACTCTTTGTACACAATCTACAATTACATATTTTATTTACATATTTTTACTTACATTATTCATGTAATTTACATATTTTATCATAGCATTAAGAAATTTGAAAACTTCTAGCACCATTTCAAATTTTTTATGGAAATAAATTCACGAATTTCCTAACCTAAAAGATTAGTAACTGTTCTGAAGTAAAAGTAACTCCTTGAAGTTCCCAAGGTTTTTCTTCTTCTCAAATTTCTAATCTCATGTGTTTGTGCCATATTGTCAATATAAACATCACACAAAGTTAGCATGCATACCTTTTCATTTTAAAATTGTGTTAACAAAACTTGCTAAGAACACAAAGAAAAATAGTTTTACTTTTACTGGAATTTTAGTTTTTTTCAAAAACTTTTAATCATGTACTTTATTTACTACAACATCATCCACTCAATCAATGAACTGAAGATAATTTTATATGCACTTCTATCTTTCTATTTTGATACGAAGAAATGGAGAATAAACAAAAATTGCTGGCAAAGTAGTTCTTGATTATTTTAATGACAAACTACTTTCAAATGGTTAAATGTATACTAAATATTTGTACATGAACATACAGCTTGTTGCTGCCACCATTAAAAAGTAACACCTAACTTATAAAAATTTTCTCCATAACCTAGCCATCTGTAAAAAAACACTAAGTTTTAACAATATTTTGTAACACAGAAAACTTCATGAAGTCACAATTGCCTTGATTCTGAGAACAGAAGTAGTAAGCAAAAGCAAACTTCCTTCAACTAATTTTTTTTCTTAAAATTCTCTTCCTTTTTTGATTCCTATCGTTATTAAAATTTTTCTTTTCTAAACAGAATGTCATCATAATTTCATATAATTTATCACAATGTTAACATTTACACACCCTCTATAAATTAACATTCTTCATTGCTTCTTAAAACATAAAATTTTTAGAATTTTAATTTGAAGTGAAAACACCTTTCGATTTCATCATATTTGGCATTTGCAATTTTAACAGCGGAATTGTTTTCACACTGGATTTCTTGTGCAATGATTTCTTACCTGGTTGCTGTGGAGGTAGACCCATGGGAAACGGAGGTGGAGGAGGATGGTGTTGTATTGTTTGAGGAACTGAATGTGCCACTCCCACATCACTGTCAATGTCCATACCAGTACCACTCCCACCACCCACTACACCAGCTGAATATTCGTCCTTCACTATTCGACTGGGACCAGATTGCAAAGACAATCCTGAGAGATCTGAAATAAACAATAATAAGTAACACATCAAATCAACATTCTTGGAAAATCTTTCAAGATATTAAAAAAAAACAAAAAAACATTGTGGCCATTTGCATTTCCTATCAATATTTTTTGACGTTATGGTTCTAATTCATTTTACCCAAACCATTAACTGAAACAATACAATTCAAAATACAGTAATCCATCCTCCTCAAAACTCACCTATTCCTGGAGAAACTACTCGTTCATAATGGTATGGGTTAACACAAACTGAATCACACTTCAGATCAAAAGCAAACTGGCAAAATTTTACATGTTTTAGCTCATTTTTATGCAAATCTGGCCACCTCCAAATGCGGGCATAGATAACATGAGGAAAGCCTTTTCTACCAGCAACCTGATGACATAATAATTGAGTTATGACAGAAAAAATTAACAAGGTATAACTACAAAAACATTTAGAATCAAACCCAAAACTAATCAAACCTGCAATCTTCCATCTAATGTACGCTGAATGGTTACACATTTACTGGGATGAGCTCCATTCGTAGTAATTGCGGTTATTAAACTATCCAACTCATCACGCTTTTCCTAATTAAACAGAAAAAACATTGTCATATTCACATTGTTCCCAAAATTTTCCATCCTAACAACCTTGACCACACAAAGGCAAATATGTAACATACGTGCAGATTTTAGCTTGAAATAATGTATCACATGAGAATGACCAACTGACATTTCTGTAACTAATTTTTAGGTTCTCAAACATTATTGCATTGTAGTACATTGCAACATGTTAGCATGCTTATAAATACTAAAGATCTGTATTATTCTCGTAGACTTCCAGAACAGTTCTAACTTACAGTGCTCATTTTTGTAATTCAAAATTTTGAAGTTTTTATTGAAATAACATTATTTTCAGCATATTTTCATATCAATATCATTCATTGAAGTATAAGAATATAATAAGTTGAAAAGTGTGTTTTCATCATAATGACACACATTTAGAAAAATCTGAACAATTTTTTGTTTTTTCAAAGAATTTAAGTTGGTTTAGGTTTTGGAAGGAATTTAATTATGTTTTACTAGAATGTTTTATGAATTTACTCTACAAAAAAAATCATAGCATTAAAAAACACCCTCAAGTATTTTGAAAAAGTTCACAGTCATGTGAAATGTCTTATATGCATCTGAATTTTTCCCGAAGCCTACATTTCCAAAACACTACAAAAATTTCAAAATTCAAGTCACATTTTTACTGCAATCATAAAAATGCAGTTAAGAGGCATTGAGGGCATTGTATAACAATAACAGAATTAAATTGTTTTGTTGAAAAAGAACAAGTATTATCAATAGAGCTTCCAACTTTATGCTCAAAATTAACATGAAAAATTTATGATACTTCAGTAGTTATTGAAATTAACTTAATCACTACAGAAAAAAATGTATTTTTCATTTTCTTGCTCTTGATTTAACAAAGCCACTTACATAAAATTATTGTGGATTTATTACGTATTATCTTTAGTTCACAGAGCATCAACATGGAAAATGGGGGGAAGAGGGAGGGAGAGGGAGGGGGCACCATATAGTGGTGATACAACAGCACATACTTTCTCCCATTACTTATAACAGGTACGTTAATCTTGCAGTACGTGAACCCTCAGACGAGTTTCCAACCCACAAAAATGTTTTGCCTACACTGAGATTTTAACTTGGATTCTTTGGTTTAGCAAACTCTTCTCTTATATGCAACACCAAATGCCCTTCTAATGTTTTGAAAAGAAAGTTATATATCTGCAATTGTTGAAAATTCAGATGTTTTAAAGACAATTGAACCTAATTTTGAAGAATCATTTTCATTCATTATTCACCATGGCTTAAATATTATATTCAGACAATCAGAAAATAAACTATCAAGAATTAATTGGTTGAAACTTATGGGATATGGAATAAATGTATAAGTAAATGATTTATGTAGAACATTTTATGAAAAACTAAAAGCAATAGTGAGAGAGAATGTACCAGTAGCTTTGACTATTTCCTCTAAATACCAAAACTGGTACTCGATACACATCATTAACTTAACGTAACAAAAAAATAAAGTATGTCTAGACTGTGAGGTCGAGGCTTGAATATGCATAGGTTGATGCTGTTGGTTCAGACAGAAAGCTTTAAAGTTGTCAGGGGAGTTTTGTTTGTTTTGTTTTTTTAGTAATAAGAGTTTACATCATCAGGCAATTATCCTCCGAGAGGAATTGATAATGAGCTTCTACTCACTAAATTTAATTTCTAAAGTCTTAAAAATAAGAGGCACTTTCATTAAATTCTGTTTCTCATCAACATTATTAGGCATGTTATTACGTATCCTTTTTCCATCTGAAATCTTAATACCAGTATGTCACTATTAATTTGCATAATAAAAGAACATTTCATACACATATATGTAAGAATAACATGCTGCTCAAACTGATTCTGACTACTCTTATGGATCTTCCAAATGACTTTGCACTTAACACCAATATGGATTTATTTGTTGATTCCATTAGTTCTCTTGTACATAACTTAATATTATATGTTAATATACTATTAGATTAAGCTCTCTTCTAAATAATCCCATTATTTAGGGTTTAATACTGCTGAACTTTGTAAAATTTAAAATAAATAAGTAAAAATTAAAATGAAGAAAAACAGTCTTGCATTTTAGTTACAAAAAAAACACTGAAAAAATATCAAATTTTCAGTTTCCAAAAATAAAGAATACAATGACATTCAGATAGTTTTCATAAGCATATTGGGCTCTATCCAAGAAAACAATTTAAAGAAAAAATTTTGAGCCCTTTTTTTTTGGGGGGGGGGGGGAATATAATGTTGAGACTCGATTAAAAAATTAAAATATCCATTTCATATTCAATAGTTGTGTCAACAGGCAGATCAATTAAGGAATATTAAATTTGATAAAAAATTTTGCGAAATAGTGTTATTCACAGATAGACAAACTTTTTGGTATTAAGAACCCACAAAACATGGCTACTGACTGCACAATATATGAGGGTAAAATAATTTACTACCCATGGGAGAAAGAATTATCCACTTTTGCAGTTTCAGAAACCCAAAATATGAGTTTTTCCTGTCAAAAAATCACTGTCTTCCTTTGCAGCATTATAATACTTTCTCAATATTACAGAAGTAGAATAAGAGAAAGTGATTATTAATTTTGGAGTCATTCAGACTGATTTACAAATTTGGATCAACCAAATAAGAAATGAAAAGTTCAATCTATATAAACGAGAAATTTTTGACTTATTATTGTGGGACCAAGGACATTGACTTCAGCTCTGAACAAATAAATTGCACACTTGTAACAGCAGTTCTCAAAAGTTTCGTTGGAATTTTCTTCCTTCTTGAAATTCAAAGAAGTCCCACTTCCCTAACTCCGATTAATTGTGCAACACGATAACTTCCAAATTTTACCATCAGATATCATTTGAACAGCATCAAAGAAGCAACGATTTCATAGCAACCCAGGCATTTTTTAATTTTTTATAGCATACTCATAAATCATAAGAAATAATAGTAAGGAACTTCAAGTTTCTATCTTGATTAAGTTGCTCAACTTAATGATACAAATGCAGGGATGCAGGAAATTATGTTACAGAAGACTACGTCAGATTTTTACCGTTTTCAATAATATCTTCACTTTTTATTGGTGTACTAACAACTTTTGAACTACACTAAAATATTATCTTAGGTTTACTTTAAATGGTAGAAGAGCTGGAAGTTTACATATTTCTTAGAGGAATGTGCATAAGCTCCAATGCCACTTCGAGTAGCTCTGTCTTTTGATGTCCATTACTTCAACATCAATCAGAACTCCTTACCACAGTTCTACTTCAGTACCAAGCAGAATTCACTGTGATGTGAAATCATCATATGATTTTATATTCCAAAATGCTTCCACACTAGTTGTAGTGTAATCTGAAACTTTCATATTCCTCCCCATTTCTTCCTATAATATCTTATAATCTTATTCTGCAGAATTCAGTCATCCACAAACAGGGAGTGCAGTAATAGATAATTTATTAATGGTATCCCTATCTGTGTACTTCAATTTACCATATGTTGCTATTTTTTCATGCATAGTTGGGAAAATGTTTGAAATTTATTAAATTCTAGTTCTTCATACAGAAATATATTCATCTTCCACAGGAATGGAAGTAACCCAGGGTTCCTTCATTTCTTTCAAAAAGTGATATTGAAGTACATTCAGTAACTAACTAGTTGGTACATTAAAAGATAAATCCCCCCCCCCCCCCAATTTTAATATCGCAAAATCATAATTATTACTGGTAATATAAATTTTTATTAAAATTGAGTTTGGATGATAAAGTAACATATGTAGCATAACTTAAAAACAAGTTTGCATTGTACTGTAAATTGAAATTGATGTTTCTGGGCATGCCAACTGTTAAGTTCATGAATGTTTTCCTCAATGAATGGTGAGATTTGGTGCCGACCTAGACCCCAGCCTGCAGGGGATTTCCCCATTCAGGTAACTCTCACTCAACTCTCTTAAGGGTACCACCCCAGCCGAGTCCAGGACTAAGCTCCCAAATGGTCTACCGACATTGGAGATAGAGAAGTTCATGTTAGTGTGTGTGTGTGTGTGTATGCAAGGGAGAAGAGGGGCAAGAATGAGAAAGAGAAGAGTGCATTCAGTTCATTTGTTAGGATACTTCCCCAGAATTCACCTGACAGTGATTCGAAAAACAACAGAAGACAACCACAAGAGCCGGCCACAAAATTTCTCTTCCAGTGTCTGAATTTGACCTAGCTGTAGAACTAGGGCTGAAAATTTGCCATCGTTTACAATTACAATTGAGGAGTTGGGTGGGAGAAGGCTGTAGCTCGAATTATGGTGTTATCCATAAAACATTTAAAAACCTTCTTTAGGTGACTTTCTACCACCCCTCCAGATGGTACTGCGCTAGCCCCAATAGATGACGTTTTGAGAGGCTTTCGAAAATCTGTATTATGCATATCATTGTTAACACCACGATTTTGCATTTTGCATTTCGTTTCCCAGTGTTTAGAACATATACGGGATGGCTGTGAATACACATGTGAATTTGTCCGGGTAATCTGATTTTTTTTTTTTTTAATGATAGCGAGTTTTAGCCTCCAGTTGATAGTAATACATCTTTAGATGCATATTTACGTAGTGTAGAAGATAAAAATAAAGGACAAAAAAGGAAAACTTTTCCGAAAGTCAGAAAACAAGAATTAATGAATCTTAATTAACCTAGATGAAAATGTAAATTATTCTGTTTCTGAAATTAAGAAATACATGCAGATTGTCAAAAAAGAGAACTATTTATATCAAAATTAGCTTGTTCAATGGAATAAGGACATAATTCAACATTTTCAAATTAATGTAAATCCACATATTTGAGTATTTTAGTGCATTTAGTGTGCTTAAACAGTTACTAGTATGATTTTTTGTGTGATATGTACGTATTTTTTTAATTTATGTGAGAAATACAACTTGTATATTTTTTCTTGATAATCTCAAAACTATGTTTCCTGAATTATGACTTTCTACCATCCAACCCCTCAATTACAATTTACAGTACAATGCAAACTTGCTTTGAAATTTTGCTACTTGTTACGCATTTGTTTCTTTATCATCCAAACAATATCTTAATAAACTTGAACCTAGGACTTCCCAGTCAGAGTCCTGCAAGACAATGATAATGCAAATTCAGAGCTAACTCAGCTGTTTTTGTTATGTGTGTTTGTTGTGATGAAACTTGAGTTGACAATACTATATGTATGTATGTATGTATGTATGTATGTACGTCTCCGAAAAAGGGGCTCCATGAAAGGGCTCCGGCCTACCGGCGACGTCCCTGCCTAGCAGCTATGAGTTACATGGGGGTACATGTGGTTAGCAGGTAGACATCCCCATGCCATATTCCGGTTTTCTCAACCAGAGAAGTAAATTTTCTCACCGTCACACAGCAACACATAATGGGACATTGCAAGGAAAATGAACACTATAGTCTTAGCTGGACCGAGAATCGAACACTGGGCCACGTAGTGGAAAGCAAGCACGCTGACCAAGAGCTAGCCAAAAGCGATTTGTCAATACTAGCAAATGAAATTTGAACTTTATTGTCAGTTCACTTTGTTTTGTACAACTGTTGTTTTTCATACTTGTTTGTGTGCGTACATTGTGATTAAATTTGAGTTCGTAATGAATATTTCAATACATAAAATTATATATTTTGTTATTTTATTTATGTAGGTATCACATATAAGTGATGACCTGGTTGCTGTGAAAATGTTTTGGAGAGTTACTATGTTCAGTGGTAGATTATAATAGATGATAGTATAGAAATGATGTAAAAGAGAGAACAAATTGTTTGACTTGAACAGTGTAGGAGTTGCTTGCTACATATCTTCAAAGTATTTACAGGCAACAGTATGCATCTGATATAGCCTGAATTAGAGCTTACTTAATAGTTCATTTTAATATTTATTGAAAGTATTGAAAAATCATTGTAATAATTCCATTTGAGTGGTTAACAATTTATTTTTGGTTGTAAAAGTTCATGATCTTTATGTACAAAAGAAGTAAAAATGAGAATAACTACTTTATGATAAGATAATACTACAGTGAGTGGTTATCATATTTTGAGATAATTAATACTTCACTGAGAGAGAAAAAAAGCAGTCTGTGGATCAGTGGATTGCACAGCCTTCCTTGTGGAAGAGATCATATATGCACTTAAAGACATGAATAGTAGGAACTGCAAGTGTTCTCTGAGAGTTTGTTCCATGTATCAACAATGTGGTAATGCAGAAAGTTCTTGTGTGTTGTAAGATTGTATCTTTATTTCATAAGTTTCACACTCTGGTTCACATAGTTAGGGAAATTAAAAGTGACAAAAAAGGTATTTAAATCCAAAGCCTTGTAATGCCATGTATGTTTTGTACTTTTTCTTATGTCTCCTAGAAATGCAGTGTATGAAACCCTATGTTTGGTCAATCGTCTGTTCATACATCATGGTTTTGAGATCCTTGAGAATATGTTCCTTTGTTGCCAACTGATCACTTTCTAGAAGGTTAATGACTAACAAAATAAGGGTCCCCAATAGTGGTGCCAAATTCAATGATCAGGAGAATATGTTATATAAAGCAAGGGAACAGGTCGCATTTTAATAGTCTAAAATCTTTAAGGAGTATTTAGGTGGCTTTGTTTATTTTTTAAGAGAGATTATTTACATGATTTGCCTATTTTAAGTCACATGAAATCATGATACCCAGATCTTTCATAAACATGGTTTCTGCTACATTTTCTTCATCTACATGATAGTTTTGTTTGGGGTTAGATTGCCCCAAGGGCATAACCAAACATTTTGATTTGTTCAGAGGTAGCATCCAGACTTTCAACCATTCATACATTCTAGCTTAATTCCTTTTGGAGATAGAGACAAATGGGTTGGTATAGAATCTGGTAATTTGCTTACATCTTAACTTCAGATTGCATTTCTTTTGGAAAGTTGCTAGTACACAAAACAAATAGGATTGGTCCCAATACCGAGTCTTGAGAAACTCCATACTTAATTCTTTTCTCCAATTCTCATCACTGCTGATTCTCCAAGAAGGAATTGCACCCAACTTAGTAGCTTTCCCCTTGCTTCATACCAAGATAAAGCAAGTTTAAAAAACAGTCTACATTGCATTATTTTAACAAAAGCTTTACAGAAGTCCAGGTAGATGATGCCTGATGCATTATAATTATCTAAATCCATTATTCAATCATGAAATGATGATAATAGGTTTGGTGTTATAGATGTACTCTGTATGAATCCGTGCTGCTGTTAGGGAACAGTCCAGTTCTCAAAACAAAGTTGAGAATTTCATTTGTTAGAAACTGTTCAAACCATGCATATCGTACTGGTCTTTGCTAATGGGTCTCTAATTGCTGAGCTTCAGTTTACTACCTTTTTTGACAATAGAAATTATCTCAACTATTTTCCAGTTTGGCAGTAATATTTCAAACTCAAGAGACTCTCGAAAGATTTTGTGGAGAGTAGGAGCAAATTTTCCAGGGCATTCCTTCGGAGCAAGTTTCGGGACTCTATCTGGTCCAGCAGAGAGATGTGCGTTTAACATCTCTCTGTGTTTCTTCAGCAGGGGGTTAAGACATAGGTGGAATGAAATCATTAGGTTCAAAACTCTTAAAAAATTTGAAAGCTGGTTGTAAAAATTGCAGTGGCCTCTTTCTTGCCTGAAACTCTTTTCCCCATCTTTTTTCTCAGACATATGAGGAACAAAGACTTTGGTGAATATATTGTTGAGAATGTATGAATCTAGTGGTTTATCTTTAGATTTGGTGATGCTTTACTCATAGTTCCTTTTGCAATCCTCATTTACAGAGTTACATATTTCTGTAAATTCCCTCGTTATCAATTGTTGGGTTAGTACTCCAAAGCAGTTTCTTTTTCTGCATTAATCTTAAGATTTCAAATTTATTTGGGTTGTCATGTTTTTTTTAATTTATTTATAAATATATTTATTTAATAGATGAGTAGTTATCCAGTGTTTTGATTAATTTTGATTTGAACATGGTCCATTTAATTTCGAGATTCTCTTAATTAGGTGTTAAGAGGTTGTATGAGAATGTGCAAGGTCACTTTCCACTTCCTCTAAATTGACTCACCAATATGTTTTACCATTCTTATGGAGGAGAGTTCGACTTCGCTTCATGATTTTCAATTTGTATGTCAATAGATAGAACAAAATGGTCGCTATTGCCAATTGGACATCCCTTCACTGGCAGGTCTGATGACATTTGACAAAAGTAGGTTGAGCACCACTGATCTTTATCTATTACAAAATCAGATTTCATCTGTTACCAACTCTGAGAAGAAGGGTTTTTTTTCATATACTTCAAGGAACTCTCTTGCTGCAAGTGGGACAGAATCTGTGCTTGGTTTGGAGCCATTGTAATGATGGGAATTTGAAATCTAGCGCATCTAAAAGATGTTCTTGTTGTGAATTGTTCATCATCGTCAAACGTACAAATTATTATGTAAGCAATGGTGGTGATCGTTTTGATAGGTTTGTTGATTTGGTTACTTCCCTTGTTGGGCATATTTTGAATTATGAAAAAGCCAATTGTTTATAAATATAAATGCTTTTACTGAAACTCCTGTAATTGGGGTAACCTGCTGGACTAAAAAAAGTGTTTGGGAAGTTTTTTATCCATTTTTAAAGCAAGGTGCTTGTTTTGGGGCTGGGTAAAATTAGCCACTCATCTAGCCCGTGTTACTAAAGGAACAATATAGTGTAAGCCTCAATTTACCTAACCTTAAACAGTCAAGTACTTTTAACACTTGCTGGAAAAAACATACATGATCCACAGCAAACTATATTATCCTTTGCATTTGTACAATTACGGAAACAATCTTTGTGTTTGTGTATTCAGGGAGCAAAGTTTGCATTTTTCTTTTACATTTATCTAATACATGTGTTGTTGTGGTTAAATTTGAGTTTTCAGTACTAACTGGAGTTCCGAAATTTGGAGTTTATATTTTATCGTCAGATCACTTTATTAAGTATTAGTATTGTTTTTATTTTTGTCAGTTTATTAAGATGAAATTTGAGTTTTAATTCAATACCCAAAATTATAGGTTTTGTTATTTTATTTGAGATTTTAAATTTAACAAAATAAGTAAATAAAAAAGTTATTCTTTAGGGCCTGGGAAAAAATTTGGCCAACCTAGATCTACCAGACAATATGGTTCCACAACTAAATACTAAAAACCTTTCAAGCCCCAATCTATATAAACTTTTTTTACATTGTATTTACTCCCTCTTATTTAATTGCCAAAAATTATCTTTCACAGAGACAAAATGCAAACAGAAATGAATATTTACCATAAAAAAACTTTATTTACAATTTTTATTTTAAAGGGGGAGGGAGATACTGCTATGGGATTTTTATTTTCAAATGTACATTAAAGGTATTTAAAATGTGGCTTAATACATAATACTTACACTAATATTTACATTTTTCTGTAAAATCATTTTCTCAAAATAAAAATATAAAGCACAATTGTTTGGGTGTGTGAATCTAAAAACACGCAACTTTTAAGTTTTGTGGCTAGGGTACAGGCAAAAAATGTACATACAATTAAGTGGTAAATTAATTGCAATGCATTTGTAGACAATATTATAATACACTGCATTTTTTTACTATTAATGTTCATCACTACACTAAATAATATCTATAAATCTCAATACTGATTTTTTTTTTTATGATCAACTCACACTAGGGAGTACATATTAGTTTACTTTCACTTGTGTTGAAAGTATGACACAAAAAACTTTACTTCCTAATGCAAAAAACATAATTGCTTTTTATGCGCAGACTATCCCATTTCCCAATACTGTGCAAATTACCCTGTTACAATTTAATTTAATTTCAAACTGTATGAGACAAATTACAATTTGACTCATAGATCAAATTATCAGGTTCTAAGAGAATTATTACATTCAAAAAGTGCAATAACTTACTTTTAATTTCTTTACAAGAGATTCAATTGCTCTCTTGGCAAATCCTTCAGATTCTCCACCTTGTCGATGACACATAAGGCTATGAACAATGCTTAGACAAGCATCTGCCGATGTAGGTGCATTTGTTGTCATAGCTGTCATGTTGTTAACTATAAGGAGATGATGAATACAATGACAGATTTTAAAACACATGTTAGTGATTCAGTGTATTACAAGTACTGGTAACATTCAATGATACTTACAGAACTGATATACACTATTTCACAAGCCTTTAATGTTAGGCCTCGACGAATATATTTCTCTACATCCGATGTCAATATGAAGTGTATATGAGTGAGTGAGGACTTCTACATTTCTATCACAAAGTTACATTTCCTTGCAAATAATGACACACAAATCTTCAAAATATCGCGCTCTCCATGAATTGATAGGTCACAAGAAAAATGCGTCTTCTGTTTGAAAAGCAGCGTTGCGATGGGTATTACTGTCAATCCAGACTAGCATTCTTCAATATTTGCTACCTTCATTCATAATTCAACACTAACGTTGAACGTCCACTTATTTGGAGCCTTCCACACAATATATAACCTATGTCAAAAAACTCTCAAGTGTAACACGCTACGTTCCAAAATATTTATCACAACAGAAATATTTCCAGCATACACACAACGTGTTGTTTAATTTACGCCCGATGACCTCACATGAAATTCGCAAAAAATTCGGCACGAATAATGCCAAAATGCGACAAACCATTTGTAAATGAACCCGTTCCATTAATTGTTTCTCGTTGGTTGGTATCACAGGCTTCCCGATCATTCGTAGAGAAAACAAAGATTATCATTTTTGAAAAAAGAAAATCTATATAATTAATGTTTGACACGAAATTAATTAAAAATTCAAATAAATGAATGCGAAAAAAATTAAAATTGAAGGAGAGTTAATATAATTTTGGAATGGAATGAAACAGATAGAACATTTTCGCTTTCAAGTTACCTCGTAATTAAATGCAATTTACCACACCTCCGTGAAGGCAAATTTTATATTAATAATTCTAAACAAGCATTTCTTATATCATTCGAATGCCTTCCACGTTTCTTCATTACATTCATCGTTTTATTACATTCCATTCCATAACATGCAGTGCGAAAAGCGCAGTTTCTGTAAACTCTTGGTCCTCATACAACTTCCATGTTCATCTGGACCAACAACACGAAGTCCTTCGCAGAAATTTGCACCAGCACCATCACTCTGCACCAGAGAGAATACTGGTGCTCTGCATGTTCGCTCCATCAGGTTGGCGAATGTGAATCGTGGATGCGTTTGTGTTTGTATTCTGAGATTATATGTATGACATCTGATTAATGTAAATCAAACTGTGTGACACGTATTGGTTGCATTTGTTACTATTGGGAATGTGCTAGTGTTATATATTACGGAATAGGTAATTATGCCTCCAAAACAGAGAAAGATAGCCATTATGGGCTTTAGGTCTGTGGGTGAGTGAATTTGATTTAATTGCCAATAATGGTTTGTAACTTAGATGTAGAAGAATACCCTTGTTGGAAAAATATGTTTTAAATTTGTATGATTTTTTAGGAAAGTCGTCACTAAGCATTCAATTTGTGGAAGGGCAATTTGTAGACTCCTATGACCCCACAATTGAGAACAGTAAGTTATCATCTTAAGAATCAAAAATGGATAACTTTTTGGAACATTTGAAAGATGCTAATTTTTGCTCCTTTCTGTGTGTAGCTTTCACAAAATCAACTCGTGTAAATAGTCAGGATTATGAATTAAAACTAGTTGACACAGCTGGTCAGGATGAATATTCAATATTTCCTGCCCAATATCTGATGGACATTCATGGATATGTCCTTGTATATTCAATCACATCATCAAAATCATTTGAAGTGGTACAGATTATTTATGAGAAATTACTAGATATGACAGGAAAAGTCCAGTAAGTAGTAGTAGTCCAGTAAATTACTAATATAATATAGACCATGTTGAACTTCCATCTTTTGTAACTTTTTAATCTCTCCTCTTGTTTACTGAAATTTATTGTTTTGTTATCAAGTGTTCCCATTGTTCTTGTGGGAAATAAGACTGATCTTCACATGGAACGAATGATTAGTAGTGAGGAAGGCAAACGGCTAGCTGATTCTTGGAAAGCTGCATTCCTGGAAGCCTCAGCCAAACAGAATGAAGTATGTTTCTCTGTTGGTTTACAATAATTAGTTTTATTCTTACTAAGCTTAGTTGGTAGCTGTGCTTGGGGTAGGGTTAGCATCTTGTACTTAAGTATTGATATTCATAGGTTTGAACTTAGCTGAAGTAGAAGGATTCTTGACCCCAGATCATCGTTAATCCAGTCCAGTTAATTGAGCGCAGTAAAACTGTCTGACTTGTCCTTTTACTGCATATTAAAGAATATAAAGCCTAAAAGACTCATCAGAGCAAAATTTGAATAAAGCTTTCAAAGTAATAAGTTAGTTTGTGTCCACTGGTTTCCAGCACTATGCCTGCTCTGCCCATGTCAGTTTGTGCTCCTAAAAAATGAGTGGTACTGAATTAACAGCTAACTAAAAGATTGAAAGATCTGAGGCCTGTGACCTAATTCATGAGCATTTATATTATTCTACGGTTTTCTAATTTTTAATTTTTTTTTTTTTTTTTTTTTCAGTCTGTTGCTGATATCTTTCACACAGCTTTGCTGGAAATTGAGAAAGCCAATGGAAATGTTCAAGAAAAATCAAATTGTATCATCTCTTGAGTGAGTATGACTACATCAGTATCAGCCATTGAATAAGTCATAAGTTAGAGTAACTGATTAATTTACACACTTTCTGAGGAAGTATGTTTCAAAAACATGGGATGTTGTCATCCTTACACACACACATACACTTTTGTTTGTCAGATTGGTGAAGATTAATGAAAAAGTGGTATTGTTTACATTCAACCAACAGTTCAGAATATCTGTGTATTTTTTCAATGTAGCATTGTGTATAACAAACATTATTGCTTTACGTAATTTAATTTCTTGTGTATGGAATATTATGTGGAAGCTGAGTAGTTCTTACTAATAAGTAGGTACAATTACATCTTGGTAAGCATAGTTGTAATTTTTAAATGGCAAACTGTACATATATCATTTTCTTGAAACTGTAAATGTAGTCAATGAACACAAAAATAAATTTTAATTGTTATGAGAGTTGTGAAATATCTTTAATTTTATGCATTGTCAATATATTCCAACTATGGTGCCATGCAGGGAATGTGATATTTGCTATGTCTGAGACATTTATGGTGTTTACATGTAGAACTGCAAGAATTTATTTCTCCTTTTCAGTAGAAAGTCACCATAACCAGAAGTGCGATATGTCAGAGGTTAAGCATAAAAAAATTCATATGTCCATATAAGTAATAAAAAGTCCTGTTTCGCAAAAGTGATTTCCAAAATGTCAAATTTCCTTTGTTTCTGGTCAGGTAGTATTTGCAGTTTGTCCAAAAATAAATGGTACCCAAATTACATGTATTTTGTTTCATGTGTTATAAATTTTATAAAATAGAGGTTTTAATTAAGATTAAAATTAAAAATGAATTAAGAATTTTAAAAAAAATTCCTAAAAGTTTATTTGATCTCGAATGATGTGCTTGGTTTGAAATATGATGCAGTAAGGCTCCTTCAGGCCAACTTGTGCGAGGTCTAATTAGCATCGTCGTCAAAGTTTATTGTTTTTCCACTGAAGGGGAGAAGCAGATTCCTGGTAGAAGATGGCCTGTACATTTTGTCTGTTAAAGAATTCACTTATAATTTTACATATAATAAAAAAAGAAGATAGAAAAGTTGAAATGTTTATTTCTTTGAGCTAGTTGTACAACTTTTATTTTTTCAACCTCTTAAATACATGCTTTAGAAGAAGAATCACATGCCACAAAATTTTCAAAATAAGCTTGGGAACTAAGAACCTCATGACTGTGGAACGACTACTGCTTTTCTTCAATGTCATGCTGACCAGTTTATTTATTGAACAAAAGTTATTTGTAAGCCATACATGTATATGTTAAAAGAAAATACATGTTTGTTTCAAGAATAACTCTTGAAATAAAGTTTCCGAGGACTACGTCTTTCATAAATAGAATTATTTGAAATGTTCAGTTGTGAAAATTATTGTTAATTAGGTAATTTAATTACTTAATCAATTAATTAAATGATCGTTGACTTCTGCAACTTTCGATAAAGCATCTTTGTGATGTCTAATAAAATTTTGAAAGGGAATAAAGTGGCTCATGTTTGTTTAAAAAGTAGTTCTGTATTTGTCCTTGTGCATTTCCAACCATCTTGTCAGTCTCTCTACTTTTCCACATCTTTGTGAAAGGTGTCAATTTTCTCTATGTATTTTAGACTTCCCTTTTATACCACAAACTTTACCTTATTTCCAAAAAGAACACCACACAATAATTTGGTCATATGGTAATTGTAAAGTGTTTCAGAGTATTATTGCAATCAATAGGCATTTAGTGCAGTCAAAGAATAGAACGTAGTCGTATTAAATCTGATGTTTTTGATAGTTTTACACTTATGGTGTTAAGGGAAGTGGAGTCAAGAGTCAGAAAAGTCTCAATCTAGCAAATAACTTTCTGTATACAATAATGAAGTCCATGAATGATGGACCTTTCATGTTTATAATAGGTTTGAAAATGTGTGGTTTTTCAAAATAGGTTTTTTTTTTCTTTTTCCATCCCTTAAATCCTTTTTCAATAAAAATGAGCTTATGTCATGAACAATGCTTCATGATCAAATTTGAATTGTCTCTAAAATGTGTACCTTGTAATTTTTTAAAGTTAAATTTATATTTTTTGGACCAAAGTATGTCTGAATGCTAGTACTCATTGGAGCAAAATAGCAAGTAATAATACAGACACGATTTTTAAGTTTTTAAATCATTTTAACATAAAGGCACGATTGTAGAGTGCAGTTTTGTGGTTTGTAGGTGTGCATACTGTGTAAGCATGGTTGAGGTTTCCAAACTACCACTTAATACAAGAATCTTTCCTTCTCCTGGAAGGGCAGTTTGGTCTGTGTGCAGACTGGGGGAGTATTGTCCACAGACCACAACATGCTCTTCACTTGCCTGTTACTCTTCCTTACCAATTCTAATCAGTTCCAGGTGCTTCTATATGCTCATAAATCAAAGGATGTGTCCAGTCACTGTGGGTCAATGTATCTTGACAATGTGAAGGAATAAAAGTCTGATGTGCGTGTTATCAGGATCGGAAAGTACATATAACAAATAACAAGGGCAGTGATAGAACTTAGTGCAGGGCATGTCTGTACATCCTGATGGATGATATCCTTATGTTCAATGATAATGAGTAATATAACATTAAAAATTAATAATACTAATAATTTTTAATTAGCTGTATAAATTGGATAATCAAAATTTATGAAATTATTTACAAGAATCAAATAGACAATGTAATTGTGAAGAGGTAATAAAGTGATTGACATTCTTTTGGTGTGGAGGAGGGGGGTATTTTTCCAGTTCTTTTCCTTCAAGAAGAATTCAATTGATGCAGTCACCAGGGTATTCTGACGGGCACAAGGAAAACTATGATGTCCTTCTTGCCTTCAGCAGTAGTGATACTTCTTAGAGAAAAGGAAAAGTGAAATTCTTCATAATAATCAAGATCTGCTTGATTTTGCTATTCAACAATCAGATTGCACATGCAAAACTTGCAGAAGCTGGGTAAAGATATTTCAAAGTTAGATTCTGCCCGGGTTTTTATTATTGATAAACATTGCTTTTTATATTACTATACTACTACATGGTCTTGTACAAAAACTCCACACTTTGTGAATAATTGTATTAATATTTTAATTTTCAAAAATAAATTAATTACTTCAGGGCATAGTCCCAGCCACCCTAGATTTGCAATATCGAAGCTTGGAGGATTTTCTGTCAGAACAGCTAACTAATGAAAATATTATTCCGATAAACTCTCTTGTGTTTGTTTTGTTTGTAGTCCTCCACAAAAAGTATATCTTGTCCACTTCTTGTGTGAATAAGTCTTCATAGTACATTATGTCTCGTTTTTTGGTAAAATTCAACAAAATTTTAATCTTATGAACAAATATTAACTTGGTGAACAATTAAGCTGAAGAACATCAATAAGGGCAAGTGTGTTGTTGAGTGTAAAGTGCAAGTGTAAATTACAACCTTAAAAGTTATGTAGTCAGAATTCTGTGCTGAAAATACTTTTGAGATGGTAGTATTAACAATTTCCTCATGATGTTAATAATGCTTTATATTGAAAAAAAATCAATACCATAATTATTCTAATTATTAAATTGATATATGTGGTAATTTTTAAGTGACCAAATGAATTGTTTCTTACAGTCCAGTGAAATCAATATTAGTGCAACTGCATCCGTCTTATTTAGCTGTTTAATTATTCATTACTTTTTAAAGGTATGCTGTTCTTAAAAAAAATGAGAAATTCATTATTCTTGTAAGTCTTCAGTAACTTGTCAGTTCTTTCCAGAGTGACTTTCTGTTTATACCTATTTCTTCATTTAAACAGGATGTGATGCATGTTTTAGGATTATGTATGATAATAAATAGACCTTTTGATTTTTAAAAGTAATTTATTTTACAATCTAATTCACTATTCTATTTTCAATCTAAATGGCACAGCAAATATAAAAGTTGCACAATAATATTGCACTCTACAGCTATCAGTTCTTGTGACTACATTACTTTAAACCACTCCCTGATCAGGTGATTTTACAGAAGTCCCTCTCACTGACTTCTTAAATATTTCAAATGAAAATCATTTTATATGCCAATTTAAATTACAAATACATGCCAAATGCTTTCCAATAGGCAGCCAAGTACAAGATAAATATATTTTTACACCAGATGAATAAACAATCTTGTAGTGCTGTTCAGGATAGTGAAAAAATAATAATTTTTAACAATAAATTTTATTGGCTTTTCCTTTTTCGTAAAATTGTCTATATAAATGATTTCATCACCATTTTAATCATGAAAATTACAGTAGTCAGTTTTAAAAGATACTTGGAAGCAAACAACCATAATCTTACCTATAATAATTTTGCCTCTTTTATTATCAAACAAGAATGAGAGACATGGACATTTTCTTCAACAGATTCTTCCACAAACTACATTTCCAATTCCCTTTTGAAAGGAACTTTGAATTCTCGTTTGCTTTAAAGATGAAATACAAAAAGGCCCTGATGTTAAGCTATCCGTTATTTTCTAATTGTTAATAAACTGAATTCGGAAAAATTAATAACAAATATAATAAAATTAATTGAACATAAATAATGTATAGAAAAAACAGATTTCAGCTTCACTATGATTACACATAAGATGTACTTTGATTTTTTTTAACCTGGCTGATGACATTAGGTCATTGTTACACCTGCCTTATAAAATGAATCTTTTAACGGTGGTAAGCTCATTTCCAGGGGCGAATCCGGACAAATTTAGGGAGGGAAAATAAAAAATGTTTAGGTCAAATGTGTCATGTTACAAATTTTATAAAATGTTGCAGGCTACACTCAGCTCGTGATTTTATTCGTTTTAATTATTATCCTAAAACATATTAGCTTGAAAGTTTCGTGACAAGTTAAAATTATTACTGAAAACTTTAGGGCGGGGTAATTTCCGCGCGTGACATTTCTAAGGTCACGAGACTCAAGGACGTCCGCAAATTACTAATTAAAAATATTCATTTTATTCATTTCACATGCCACTTAAAAAATTGAAGTATAATAAAAAATAAAAAGACGCACAGTATTAAATTAATAAATTACAAAGGGTAGATTTATGAAAAATCGCTAGTGACCAAACTGTCTCGGTACAAACCGCATGAATGGGCTTGAATGTCGGCGGAATCTACGGAAGTAGTCATTTTTCGTTGCAAACAAATGTTAAAAAAAATATCACTACCACGTAAACTACACAGTGGAATTGTGTGGAGGATGGCTACGGCTTTTGCCACACGAAATGAAACTTGAGCTGGACAGCACTTTAGAACCCTACATTGTATTGCCAGCACCTGGTACTGTGTGAGAGAAATCATTCTAATATTGCTAAACATTGAAATTAAATTGCATAGGAAATCAAAGAGTACCTTTTATTGCGAAGGATCATTTGTCTTCTTTCGTTTTAATTCTATGTATATTTCGGATTTCTGCACTTTACTGATAACCTATGCCCTGAAGTGGGAGAACCCAAAATAACTATATCTCCAAACATGTAATAAAAAGTTGAAAAACCTCTCATTTTGTAAAATTCCGCCTAAAAAACGCAATTCGAGTTTCGCCTATTCCTTCATTTTGCCCTTTTAGGGAAACGCAAAAACTGATTTTAAGGACGCAGAAAGCATTGTTTCCGAGTTTTACATAATTACAATGTGTTTCAATACAATATGTTGTGTATGTTATTAGGAAACTTTCATTTTCTCCCTTAAATGTGTTTGATACAGGAGTGTAATTTTGTATCTAGCAGTTGTACGCTTACGAGGTTTTGTGTAGATGGTTTTTTTATAAATGGACGTGATAGCGTGGTAAAGAACAAATTCAAATAAAACAAGTCGAAGTTATTTATTTTGTTTTGACTTTCAGAGCTGGTCCCATTTTCCAAGGATGTAAGTATACATTTTCAATTTTGTCACTTGCACAAACAATTTACGCATTCAATTGTTCTCTTAATTGTCTTAGGTGCAATATAGTAGGGTTTCCCTACAAAATCCCTTTGTTTTTAAGGAGATTACAAATTGTTTAAAATTGTTAACACCAAGTATTTTGTTACTTTTTACAAAGGTTGCAGTCAAAACAGAATTTATAGCAAAACGTTTCGCGAAGTTAGTCTTTTCACATCTGACGGTGCGTCCGGTTCGCAAGGTCCATTACTAATCTCACAGCTTTTCTTACCTGATGGTCTTGCTTCCCCCTCTCTGGCACAAGTAACAATTGAAGGCGAAAGCCCGCAGTAAGCACTGTTTACATTCCAAACATCTTCACTGGCGCAAAATACAAAACTATTGTGTAATATTCTTTCCGTGATTTTGTCCAAAAAATCTAATGAAATGACCGAAACCGGTGAATATCCATCACAGGAGATACCTCGAACTCCTGAGAAAGTTGGAATGCAAATCATCAAGTTGTGAAAGCATGACTGATTTTCCAGAAATTGGCATTGTTTTCATGAAACAAAGGTAAGTTCACCCGTTTCATAAAATCGTATTTTCTTCATATCTAAAGCTATTCCTAAGAGACTTCAATACACAGTAAAAATTGTGTTCAGCATCTCACGTCGTTTGTGCTTCGAAATGTCATAAGAAATCAGAGTCCCCTCCTTCAAAAAATAATAAATTCTAACGATATTCACCACGTGATAATTACGTAATGTATTCGAGGTATTATTTTACTAATGTAATGGTGATGAAAAATGTTAATAAGGGATAGTTCTGAAATCTTAAACATGGGGGTACATTTATTTACTGGAAAAGCCCAGATGGCCCTGTACTTCATTCTTAACCTCGGACGCGTTGTAGCTTTCCTGTTTTTCCCCTCTTGCCAACTGCCGTGTATCCACCCAAATTACACTTTTTAATTCTCTCGATTTTTCGATTTTCTAAGTATAAAACTGAAATATTCCTTTAAGAAAATTATAGGAGAGTATCGATCCAAATGGAAATTTTCGTCAACAAATTTGGAAACTTTTAAAGAAAATGTCTTAAGCGTTAATAAAAATTCGAAATTTGAAGCTGCTTCACAGAAAAAAATCACTGGAAGTCATTTGAAGCTCTACCACTCAAATGTAGTTATGTTTACAAATCGCGTTAAATGTGCATATTAACGGCGAGATATTAAAAAAAATGCATAATTTTTGAAAAGACAACAAAAATAAAATATTGCAAAATTTCATGCCATCTTAAATATTTCATTGAGACAGCACGTGCTAAAGGGTTTGAAAATAAAATTTGGAGCCATATATGAGAAAACGGCGTTTGAGCTCATTTTCACAAAAAATTTGAGTTTTCGAAAACCTGTATAGACTAAGAAATTTGAAGCATAGGTACTCACAAATGCAATGATGTAAACTAATCGTCGCGGACGTGACAAATCAAAAATTAATTTTTTGTAATTTTTGAAAAACGAAATAGAGCAGAATGGCGTTTGTCTTATAAACTACTTTCAGTACTATCTCTACCAAAAGTTTAAAGAGAAAATTGGAGCAGTTTTTGAGAAATTCTTGTTTTTGTTATTAATACTGAATAATTTCACATATTATTGCAGGAAAACTGCTAAAAGTTTTAAAAAATGTGCCTGACTTGAATGAAAGAATTTTGTAGAACAAATATCCTATGAAGAAAAAAAATTATCGTCAATATCAAACTTTTTCACTTTCCAAAAATTCAGTTAACTGTGAAAAATGGACCTATGCCATCTCTATAAGTGTATTCTACACTATTCTTTGAAAAAACTTGGAGCCATTTTTGTGAAAATGTACCTTGGGGCTACCCCTCAATTTTAAAAAGTTTTTTCAAAATTAAAGCTGAGTCATGCCAGATCAACCAGG